CCTTTTAGCACCCTACATAGCTCTTCACTTGTAGATTCTAAGTACACAATCGGAGTCCTGTTTATACCCTTTTGATCACGAAGAAACGAATATAAGAAGAAAGAATCAAGTATTGTATCGATGATGAGAATACTGTTTGGTAATATATCCTCCCTAGTGAAATTCCCAAATTATCCATCCGAATGAGATTCTCTAATGAAATTCCCTATGCAAAACTCCATGCAAAATTCCATCTTCCCATCAACAACCTAATCAATACCTTACACTCAACCCCAACTCAACTCAACTTCCTCCCTCCCTCCCAACCCTATTATTCCATCATACTACCGAATTCTCGTATACCAAACTCTTAACCAAACATTGTTGTATTCGAGAAATAAAACTTGAATCTTAAATCGGGTAATATGAGGAGTAAATTCTTTAAAAAAAAAAAAAACGATAAGAGTTAGCTATATTCCGATCGTTTTGAAGAAGAGGAGGATTTACCTTTTGTGTGAAAAGAAAACAAGCAATTGCAATCGCAATTGTAATTCCAATAACTTGCTTTAATGTAACAATCTTTGTTTGCATTAAAGCAAGCTATTTCGTGTGCTTTGCTTGCACTTCCGTATGTTTTGTTTCCATTAAAATAAGCTCTTGGGCGTGCTTTGCTTGATCTTGAGTGCGTGTGGAAGCAAGCTCTTCCTTGTGTGTTGCTTGTAATTCTCGTATTTCATTATGCAATTCCATTATCGCTTTTGCTTGCGCCATTTCTTCAAGGGTTTCTTCATTGTTAGTGATAATTCTGAATTCTGATTCTGAAAAAGGGTGATTGAAATCCATTTTGATGAATGTTGAATAGATAACTTGAAAGTTTGTATTGGTTTGTGTACTTACCAAATAATTTCTTTTTGGAATGGATATAAAGAGTTTAAGTATTGATGTAGATGTGGGTTGTAAATAGGCTTAACTTCGGAGGGCAGAGATATATCAGGAAGGAAGAAAGTTGAACAATTTCAAAAAGAAAGAAGACCTCTTTTTAAAGGAATATGATGATTAATAGAATTAATTATTCATAATACTCTTAGGGTTCTTGATAAACTTGAATGAAGATTCTAGAAAGTCTAGTACATAAGGCATTATAAAATAGCCTCATAATTAAATGAATATAATAAACAGTAAATTACTATCATACCACTTAGAATCTAATCTCCTATCATAGATTCTATCCTCCTACTATAGATTCTACCCTTTCACAATATTCACCCTCCTATCATAAACTCTACCCTTCCACTATAGATCTCCACCTTTCCATTGTATTTACCACTTCAACCATATTCACCCTTCCACCATAGAAACCCTCCCATCATAGAAGCCCTCCCACCATAGAAATCCTCCTACTAGATATACCTTCCTCTCACTGTAGAAACCCTCCCATTATAGATTCTATTATAGATTCTAATATAGAATCTCAGTGGTATAAGAGTAATTTACTGTATTCTAATCTTACAATGAAATTGAATAAATTTATCAAGTGATCGACTTGTATTCGAAACGATTTTATTCAAAATTAGAAATCTTTTTATAATAAGATAATAGATAAGGAGAGGAGATGATAATCTTACAATGAAATTAAGTGATCGAATTACATTTGAAACGATTCTATAGAAATCTTTTCATAATAAGATTATGGATAAGAAGGGTATCGGTATCATAAGATAATATAAGAATTAAGATTGCAAAAGAAATTGGAACCTGGAGGGGAGTAATAGAAAACCTGTTGGGATATAGGTAATTCTATCAACCCGTGATTACTTGCGATTACTTATTGGAACTCTGAAACAACCCACTCTGTAAGTATTCTTAATCTACTTGTTGCTCAAAAAAGCAACAGAGCACTCGAGGAAAACCTGTTATAACAAAGCAGCTGTATTTGCACAAATACACCAAATGACTGAAATAATGGTATTATTACCTGGACCCGCTACAGGCTAGGTTTTAGTATTATATACACCTTATTAACTACTCTATTATATGCTTTAATTATATTACACTCTTTTTTAGTAAAACGAATTACTTTCCCTTTATTAACTTTTGGGACTACTGGGTATCTAATGTATCCTGCTACAAAGGGGTTATAACAATTGAAGCTCTTCTTGGCTGCTGTGTATTCGTTTCCTGTAGATCCAATGTATTTATATATCATGATACTATATATATTATATCTACTTTCAATCTTTTGTCAAGATAGGATCGATAAGGAGGAGTATATTGATTACACAGACGAGATGTTTTTCGGTTCTGCTCAAGAAGTACAATCCAAATTGACTGAATTGACCAAATTGACCAAATTTGTTAGAACGCGTACTACTGTACCCTGTACCACGTGCCGTACCCTAGCATTGTGCCCTCGCTAGTACTGACGCTAGCCTTAGCGCATACACCAGCTAGCTTATCAATACAACTGTAATGTAGAGTACATACAATAATACTATACAGTTACACTTCTAACAAATTTATTCGGTCGTCTCCATCGGCGTCGCTTCCATCAATCTCTTCATTCACCACCTGATTCACTTTCTTCATACTCTTCATTCTCGCTGTCATCTTATCCTGAGTTTCTGAATAAGCTATCAGCTATTAGCTATACTCTTAACTGCAACGAACGATCAATAACATCAACAATGGGTATATCATCGCTTGCGCTATAATTTGACAGAAGTCAATATCAAACAAAAAGAAAAGCAATTGCATTTTCCCAATCGTGACATATTAATATTGTACATATTTAAGTTATTCCGAGAGATTACACTACATCAAGCAAATTCCGAAGCAACGACCATTCTCACACAATTTCCAAACCTTAAGGTCTAGTCTTCTCTACATCTCCCAAAAATCCTTTCGCGACAACAACTGTCCGCTCAAAATCTTACCCATATGCGAATCTTCAAAACTCTGACCTTTTCGTCTCAAGGCAAAAACCTTTTGCAAGAACTCAACCGGACTCTCTTCGAAAGGACACACCTTCATCATGACGGGATCAAACGATTCACGACTTGACATAGGCACGAAATTGTCGCAGGCAATTTCGATATCATCTTGAGGTGGACGATAGCAAAGTCCTAGGAATTGACACAGACGAATGTATTCATCATAGCTTCGAAGGTATAGTTGTCCGGCGAAAAGGTTGAGCTGCATGACAGTAGCTGGAATAGTCCATGATGATGGCAATGGCGGAATCGTGTAGATATCAAGGCTTTCAAATGATCGCAAGGAGAGGCTCAGACGCGGAGAGTAAATACTGAGAGTGACTTTCTTATGTTGTTCAATGAGAGAACGTAGTTCATGAACCTCGAAAGGACTGAAAACTACACAACAAGTTTCGTTCTTCAGCTCAAATGTTGCAATCCAGTGGACAGGTCGCAGAAAGGAGTCTTTGATGTCGAAATGGCTCATCCACACTGTTTGTGCAAAGTCATTTGTGATCCAAAGACCTCCTGGCCATTTGGAAATATCAAAAGATTTCTTCGCAGACGTATCTTGGAAAAGAGCAAAAGCAGGTAGAAAGCCGCTATCAGATGGACGGTGTTTCATGATGCCTGTCACGACCAAATGCCTGACGTCAGGGTGCAAAATATGTTTCAGAGCTGTAACACATGGGACATGCTCAGGCTGTAGCTCCAATTCTTTTTCTGGTTGCAATTCCCGTTCTTGCTCCTCGTGTAGATTGGCCCCGGCAAAAGAAGTGTAGCCAAACTGAGCACATTTATCACGAATAGCTGCAAGTTCGGTGGAGTATTCTATGCCTGTGTTGGGAGTCGTATCGGCCAACCAACGTTCGTCAGTCTTCTCTTCACCAAGTCCATATCTTTCTTCCAAACTCTGTGCTTCAGATTCTAGAATAGATTCTGGAATACCATCGGTGTTTGCGTTCAATGCCGCAAGTCGTTCATAATGTCGTTTTCCCTGAACTGCCCAAGGCACAACACATTTGCGAACATGTGCTAGTGTATTCTGAATACACCACAATAGTACATGCTTGACTTCAATTTGGCTAGAATGAGTCCTGTGTGTGTATTCTAGAATCTTTTGCTGAATGTCCTTTGGCGCACATAATACGACGGATTGGCCCTTTCCCAGCTTTCTCATTCGCATACACGCTGTAAGTTTGTCAGTTATATTCTCACACTTAGCATCATAGATGAGTTACCTTGCGCGAGCCGATCCTTATTCAGATCTGGCCCAAGTGTAACGATAGCACGATAATCGGATGGTAGCTTTAAGTCTGTCCCGCGTGTATGAGCCTCATCGAGATAAATTACACATCGATCCATCTGCTTGGCAAATGGCGAGATATTGAGTGGTTCCGTCATTCCATCACGATTCAGTACACAAAGTTCATCCGAAGAATTAAAGAATACGGCAGCTTGCACCTCAACAGCTGGAAGTTGTGATAACCATCTACTGGCAACTTCTTCATTTCGTAGCTCCAAGACTTGTGCGCCTACATCAAGAATTACTCTCACTGTAGGTTTCGACATGACCGCCATCTTGAGAAGGACTTCCGCATCAAATTCTTCGCCCATGATTGTCGAATCAAAACTATTTTCAGGTCGCAACAGGCATGCGAGAACCTCTGCATTTGTTGAAAGCTGTTCCGCCAGGTCTTGCTGCTGGATAGAGAGTGGCAGAATATACTTGCTGTCATTCGTTCCGCTGAAGCCAGTGACTGGATGCTTTTTAGTCCGAGCAATGTCCCAACCCGACGAAGACAGCTTCTTGGGAAACTCCTTCATCTCCTTTGGAAAAACGAGTTGACTGAGATAGAAATCGATCATTTCCTTGGAACGTCTCAAAGGCGCATATACATTTTCAGACCACTGGTCAAGATTGCTGAGATTAACCCCACTCAATTGCTTGAATCTAGCACCAATATGGGGACAATTTCTGGTCCATTTCTCGTATTCACCTTGGCTGTTGTCCGACTTCAAAAGCTCTCTGAAGCATTCCTCTGCTTGAAATTCCGACAATCCTTCATAATAGTACGAAAGGCAAGTAAGGATAATCGTCGTTTCTGGGTGACTGAATTCAGAGCGAGCTGCAGGAACATCCTTTCCATGATATGGTACTGACAGGGACGATCTTTTCAAATCCAAACCAAAATTCACTCGCCATCTCTTCTGTGAAAAGGCAAAGTGTAGAACCCCATGTGCAAACAGGCCTCTGAGAAGTAACAAGCCCTTCTTAATGGATTGAGTAGCGAATGCCAATTGCTGAAGGCCGAACAATTCCTTCTCGTCCATTTTCGGATCCGTGATAAACCGGAAAATTAGGTCTCGGTGGGTCTTGGAGAAGCGGAAGAGAGATAGAGCAGGAAGCCCTTGATCACAGATATATTGCGCCACCTTCTCAACAAGAAGATCGCCGACTGTGGGCCGCAAGACTCTGAACCGCACAAAGGAACCATTCTCTGGTAAATTTTCTACCTCAAGATCATTCTGGTATTGCTGACCAAGATTTTGAACGCAAAACTTCAATATAGCCAACACTCGCTGAATCAACATCCAACGGTCGGGAGCAAAGTCAATAGGCGTTTGTCTACCAACAGTATAGATGAGTTCAAACCGCACGTTCAAAATCTCGTCGCTCTCGTCTAAAATATCCCGCGAATGTTGAAGTAGCCATGTTTGGGTGTCATTGATAACCCTACCGACATTGGCATCCTTATCTCCGGAAAGCACCATGTCAAGGCCCATCAACTCGAATGACAGTAAATGCTCTGGTTGCACGAGGAGTACACCACCGGAACTCATGCAAGTCTCGTATATCTCACGTACCTGCTTTGCCTCCTCGACATCCATTTGAAGTGCGCGTGAGATTGGTAGGAAGAATATACGCCGGTTGATCATACCGCCAAGCTTCTTTACTAGCAATTCCATCATCTGTTTGGATAGCGCACGTAGAACTACGACACGACATAATTTTGTTTTGTCTGCCAGTGCACATGCCACAATCGGAACAATGACAGAAGATTTGCCAAGTCCCATGTTCAATTGCATTGCAGAATTTGCACCTGACGACGGGTCAATCATTTCTTTGCTGATATCGGCCTGATCTTTGCGTATCAAGATTCCATTCTCTAATTCGAGGAGCAGCCAGTCCGGATACGCTAATGGATCCCACCCTTCGTGTCCCGGATTGGAGAGCTCCATGAGAAGCTCTGCTTGATTATCGCAACAACACAACAGACGCTCCGCACGTTGTAAGGCGGTCACGGCGAGACCATAACATACAATTTCACGCTTCCATTGCTGTGAGAGCTGAATCTGATGAGATTTTGCGATGAGAGAAAGAATTGTGGTTTGAGATAGGCGCGGAAGCATTGTTGTACTCTCTATTGCCCCGAAAACTCTGATTGGAGACACTAACTGCTCTAAGATCCTTTGGTACATTGTTTGTACTAGTATCTGACATTGGTTCAAATAGGTTGCGAAACTGTAAGTGGATAATGAAGAATTTAGTTGAGCACGTGGCATCCGGTTCAAAGCATCGAGACTTTGTTTTAATTGACTGCAATATTGAGCCTCGAAGATACCGGAAGTGTGCTGAGAAAGTTCTAGTAAAAGCTCCGATACTTTTCTATGGTCATTATCATTGGTAACAGATATGGGAGTCGTAGTTTGGAGTGATTTGAATTGGGAATATTGGGTGCTGTTGATGGATAATGGCGGTCTGTTCCTCAAAAGATCTTTGAGCCCTAGATATGTCACACCCGGGCTATACTTGCATGCAGGTTTTGTATAATCAACCCATTGCCGAATCGGGTGCTTGATAGGATTTACGGTGTCGAGGGCTGTTTGTACTAGCCGAATGAACTTCCTGAACTCATTGTTTCGAAACCAAGCAGCAAAATCTGTCTGGACAATGTCAGTCACTCCCTCTACATCGACGTATGCCCGGAATTTTGTATCTATAGAGGCGATGGGCTTTTTAGTTGGCCATTGAATCATAAGAGAATCAACGGCCGATTCAACGGAGAGTTCGATGCAATCATTATACATCTGCACCCTGCGACTTTCGGCTTCTCGCTCAGTCTCAGACTGGACTCTGACAAGGTTGCTTGCCGGAGTTATGGCGTAGTCATAAAGTTGGGAAGTGACGGCACTGGTCAGACTGTTCTCATCAGGCTCGAATCCGTCTGAAAGGCGAAAATATTGATGTTCTGGAAGCTGTATGCGGCGGAATGAGGGATTTGTGGCAAACGCTAGAAGGGAATGGATAAGCGCTAGATCTACTTCCTGTGAAAAAGCTAATGTTGATAGGAATAGCATAATCTTATATTTGTCTCGACTTTCGTTGCTGACCAATAACTCCTTATAAATCGCGAACCAATGGTCAGGCAGAAAGTCCGTGGGTGCACTTAACCATTTTGGGTTATAACCAATGGCATCCGTTGTCTCTGTCCTGGGTCCAATGATTCGATCTGGCAAAGATACCATGGTACCTTGTAAGTCCTTGGAGACATCCAGATTCTGAGGCCATGAACAAACCAATGCTGCGATGTTATAGATCACCTCGCGTCGGTTTGCGTCACAATTTCCATCACGAGAGTTGTATTCTTTATCCTGATCTACGGTAAACTTTTCGGCTCCGAAACCATCAACACGGTAGACGGCATTTCGAATGATGGCCATAGAAATCAATTCAACGTTACCGCGACTATCTGGTTCTGGAAGTTGCTGCCTGTCCAGCTCATTTTGAAATGATACTAAAGATCTGGCATATGTAAAAATGCTGTCGACCTTAGTGCTGAAGGCTTCATGCTGAGACAGTGTTGGCAATTTTGTCCAAGAAACATCTTGCATCTTTTTTTTCCCTGGCGGATAGTAGGTGAATTCTGGAGACAAAGCCCTCAACTTCACAAGCAACTCTATTTCGTTAGAGGAAAGAGTAAAAAACGACAACACAGATGCAGAAGACAACCCTTCTAGCGCTTCTTCCGTACCGGTTTTACCGGTGAGGATGTCGGGGAGAATATCCGAGGTCAGTGCGTGAAGATACAATCTGAAAAGCCGAGTTCCAAGGCTCCCATTATCAACTAGACGGCCAAGTTGAGTGTCGATTCGATAGTCGTGATAAGTACAGGAGCTTTTCGATTCCGTACTGATATGCACCTTGACATGGCCATTATGCGGTGTAAAGGAGATCTCCCCATTCGGAATGATGACTATTCGCCTTGATTTGTCACTGCTGCATAACACAAGTTTATTGACCAAGCCGGTGAAAGTGTTGAGTTTCTGATCTTCGTCCACGAACATTCCACGGAATTGTTTCGATGCCAACATCGAGTCGCTCGAGATCCTGTAGAAATCAAGATTGAAACGTGGAAGGCGTATCTCCAACTTTCCGTCGCATCGATTGAGTATCATTTCAATGTGACTCAAATTCTCCAGAGGATGGAAAATCTCTGATATAGCAAAAGCTGTTGGACTCCGGGTGTCAACCACCGTCATGGAGCCATTGGATAGGTAGAAGTGTTGCTTTGGATAAGGCATAATTTGCCATCCACCATCCGACGAAATCCATGGCATTTCGGTTGCCCTCAATTGTATGACTCCGGATCTGTCATTTCGCATAAAGATGTATTTCTCCAAGAATGAATCTGTGAAATCGTTTCTTAAGAAACGCCGGGGAATAACCTCAAAGCATTCATCTCTTCTTTGAATTTGAACAATCAATTCATCGTCCACCATATTGAAGTGAACCTAAATCAATTAGCACGTCAACTAGGAGTATTCAGCTTTTTAATCTAGCTGATCAACTGTACCTGGTGATCGCATATAGTTTTCCTAGTCTCAAAAACCATGCCAGGCATTGTTGATGGAATGACATCCAACATTTTCTGTGTTGAAAAGGTCAGTCAGAGGAGATGTAATAATGAGATGTAAACTAACCTCTCCAAAAAGTCGCTTATATGTCGCGTGAGCCTCATAATTGCGAGGTAGACGAGCTAGAGGGGATCCATTTATGAGTAGTTCTCCAGTCAGAATGTTCAATTCAACAAAGAGAGATTCTTGGCCACTAATGCCTGCCGTTTTTGTCTTCAGCCATCGTTCGTTCGGAGTACCAAGTACTGTCCAAGCAGGTCCTGGCTTATAGCCTGACCAGAGAAACCGAATGGTGGTGTCAATACCCTCTGCCTCCCAAACGATCATGTCGCGCACGAAACACTCGGCACGATGAGCTATTCTATCAAAACGTCTCAAGCACATCCGAGCAACTGCGTTAATACCAGTGGTGGTTGCAGGCCGACGATCGTGAACTGTTATTAAACTTTCAATAAATATCGCCTGGCTTTCGACAGATTTTAGCATGCTCTTAAGATGTTGCATCTCGACGTCGAAAGTACCGTTACATGTCAATGCTAATTCAAGGGCACGAATTTTAAGCAATTCGAGCTCATTTTCCTCTTGGCAACTATGAAGCATGTTGATAACATCTCTGGTCCACGCAATCGTGATAAGTCGGATACGCAGAAGCAGCTGAAGACAGCCATCTTGGACAACGCCATGAGATGAGATACTAAGTAGTCGAGTGGTAAGCATTGCGACAATCCGAACAGTCCCTCCACCTTGCCAATTCGACTCCACGCTCGAAACTACCGCATCCAACGCCGTCAAAAGTGCTGCTCCAAAATCCTCTTCATCAAGATCTCGGTGTGAATCTCGAAATTGATGCAGACAAGCTGCAGGTCCCGCTTGCCACGCTGCCTGGGCTATCATTTGAAAAGACTCCTCGCGATTCAAGTCCAATACTCGGGCTTCCATCTCCCGCAAAATGTTCATCCATTGAAGATGGTATCCAGATCTAAATGATGCAAATTGGTAAAATTCGTGTAAAGTTAGTGTAGCTGGGCAATCTATTTGCTTGGCGAGAATGACATTAGTAGTATTCTCTGTACTTTGCAGACAGCCTTGTAGCTTTGTGAAGGCTGGGGCGAACTGCATAGTGCATAGATTTCGAATATCGAGGTGTGATAAAAAGCTGGCTGAGATTGCGCTCTGCTGAGTTATACGAAAATCCACTACCAAGAAATCCAAGCCACTAGGCTTCATGATTGTTTCCGTTGTCGCTGAAGAGATAAGCTTCTCCTTGTAGTGAGAAACAATGAAGGGCTTTGTCTGAGATCCTAGGCATATTCTCCCGAGGCTATTCTGAACATACCGCTTCAGGACCGTCCTATTAAAATAATAATAGGCAATGGTTCCGCCCTCTTTCGACATTGTGGAAAATGTATCCACCAGAAGACTATAAGTGCAATCACGCCACGCTGAAATGACCTTCGGCACGTCAAGCTCGAAGACTATCGATTTTGTCTCTAATTCATTTTCCGGGAAAGGCCACTCATGCACTGCGACTGTGACTTGGTGAGCATTGGTTTTGGCAATACATTTTGGGCATTTTTTAGGCTTATGACCCATTTCTCTACGACGGTTATTTCTGTTTCCGCGGGTAACCATTCTTTCCTCGCAGACAGATAATAGATCCGCTTCTTTCCAGGCCTCGAAGGTCCTAAGTTTGGATTCGAGCTCTGCCTTTTTTTGGTTGCGTTCAAAAACTGCGTCAGCCACGATTTTATCTCGTAGGCGCTGATGTCGTGTTGATTGATCAAAGTAACGCACGGAAAAGCTAGTTGAGGTACCAATCTTTGAAAAAATGCACGACATCTCGGTGAGAGAAGCAGCATTCCTATCAGTAATGTATCTTTCGATGGATGCTAATCTTATCATTTGAGGCTTCGTAGGCAACAAAAGAGGAGCAAATAATTTTGACGTGAATCCACATCGATAGTCCTTAAGAAGCGGCTCCTGAGATGTCACACATTTGTCTAATGCGATCCATAAATCTAACAACGTTAACATTCTCACGGATTGATCTTCGGCGATGTTCTCATAGACTTGATCAGTAGTCTCCTGGTAGATAGACATGAGATCCGCCAAGGCGTTGCAATTGAGTTCAGACATTTGATGCCATTTAAGCCAACGGGCGAGATGGTCTGTCACCCACGATTCTATGTCCGCTAAAGCCAATCGGACATTTTCACTGCTTGATCGTAAGTCCGCAGACAAGCACTTAACAGTTGGAATGTCTATACTCGTCTGTACCATACGCATACGGCATTGAGGTTCAAGGGATGCGTGTCTTAATTCAGATTTGTGCCGTGTTGACAAACTAGTGAGGTAGGGTCTTAATCTATGCATACTGAGCTCAGTGTCTGATTCTGGTCTGATAACAGAAATGTCGGGGTACAATGGCGATGAAAGCACAGGAATACTCTTTGTCAAGTGAGATGAAACGCTGGATAAAACCTGCTGAACTTGGGACTGTAGCTCAGAGTCAATCAACGACTCAAGTTTGAGTAGACGTCGTTGTATCTTCATCGACATAATGAATAACATCTCTCTGGACATAGAAGACTGCAGTGCGCGCTTCAGAAATCGACACATGAAAAAAATCATGAAAGATTTGTATTGGATATGCGCTGGCTCGTTGACCTTTTCGTCCATGAGCCCAATTTGGAGACAAACTCGAAGAAAAAGCAAGCGAGGTGAACGACGCCACGGTTCAAGACAGTTTTTCCACTGGACGACGTCACGTGTCCGCTTTTGAATGCGCTGAATGACAATGCGGCGTCCGATAGCATGCATGCATTCTGTTAACATGCTGGTGACGAGTGTTGGATCAACAGTGTCTCGGATTTCGATGTCTGATTTGTTTGCTTTGAATGTTTTGCCGGCAACAATGTTTGGTGTCTCTTGCACTAATCCATCGATACACTGCAGTAGCGCTTTCTGAAACGCTCTTTCGTTAACAATATCCTGAGGAACGGCCACTGCTGGGCCCGGAAAGTATCGTCGTAATCGCCCCGTCGTTGCCATTAAATCTTCATTCTTTGGCGATAACTCGAAAGTCTCAAAGGAGTATTCCGTCGAGAATCGTCGAATGAGTATGCCCGCGTTCTGCTTTTCAATGTGTATCGCGCAAATATCTACATTTCAGGTGGTTAGCAAAGAGAGTTTCAATGACGGCAGAACTAGTACCTTCAGTTCTCATTGTTGTGAGATTATTGATGATTTTCGATGTTGGCGTGGTAGCATCATTGTCGACAAGTACCATGCCCTTAACCATCTCAATCATTCGTTTGAATTGTGATCTTTGGTGGAATGGTAAACCGTCGTGGAAATTTTGAAGTTCCTCTTGGAAGAGTTGTGTTAGTACTACATCATGCTCTGTTCGACCGTCTTCCTCGTGAGGTAATCTTGGTGGAAGAAAAACATGGTGAAAGATGTATTTTAAGGCTGATTTGGGGACCATATTGAAATTGCGTGTTTTTCTCCGGTTGGAGTTCAAATAAAAGATTAGAGAGTTGCCTTCTCTTGCAGATTGTAGATCAAATGACGGTACGCTTTTGCCTCCTCGAGTTCAATTTTCTGCAAAATTGTTGAGAATTGTTGAGCTTCAGTCCTTTCCAAAACAAGCACGTGGAAATATACCATCAATTTTCACGTGTCTAAAGACTCCCTTGAAAACCTCTGTTGATGTTCAGGAGCTGGTTGCTGCGGGGTTCCGGTGTGTGTCCGGTATTGTTGCTCGCGTTTTGTTGTGCTCGAGAACTAAGTGCTTGCGAATCATGAGCTTGAGGTTCCGCTTCCACACTTTGACGCCTCACCCATATGTTGATCGTACAGATCTCACGAGATCAATAAGATATCATTAATGGGTTAGGAAGAAGAAGTTCAGGAGTTGCTCAGTTGTGGAGGAACAATGTTTGGGAAAGTAAAGACACAAAAATAAGCGACTGAGCTTAAAATAGATGTTTGTGTTTTCTTTGACGAATCATATTTTATCTCATATGTTCTGTATGTTCCCGTCTGTTAATACCCGGCGGCGAAGTATTCTGCACCACCCAGTGAAGAGTGTTTTCTTTTGGCTGCGTAAATCCATTGCCAGCTGTCTTCGAAACTTATTGAGACAACTGGCAAAGCTTTCTTCCTAACCAGGGATATCGTCAGCAATATGAAAGAAGCAGTATGATTCGTTTTTTCTTTTGGCCTGTTGGGGTTGCATTTAAATATTAATATAATGAGTTAAGAGTGAATTCGAAGTTGGAGGGGAAGGAAAATTAGTGTGGGGTTCGTTCTGCGCTATTCTTGAAGAGGCTTAGATTACTCTCTCTAAAGTATTACTGAATATCTGACAAACAAAATCAATTGTAGCAAATTGTTATATAATTCAGCCACCAGCCTCAATCTTTGAGTCTGTCTCGCAAATCGGAAAGACACAACTTTGGCCTTCTCAATAACAAGAAATCACAACTGGCCGTTGTATGACTTGTATGGCTCTATGACTTCAGAGAGTATCGAAAGAAATCTCGAAAGACAGGTTATACCACGCTTACCAATGGTTGGAAGCATTGCTGCGAAGAATAATCCCTTAATGACGTCCCAACCTCGAAGAGAAATGAGAAATGAGAAGGGTAAAAACTTTATTAGGAGGCACGGGAAGGGGCATGTGAAGATGTCTCGGCTGGAATGTGCGATCTGCAGGCAACATTCCGTTGGGTTTCCGAGGCGCGAGAAAGCGATAATCACCAGCATTGGGTTATACGCGATAGGGTTATTGTTGTAGGAGAGAATAAGACGCGAGGTGCCGATGTTTAATCTGCGTTTCTACCACAACCAACAGGAAATTGCATCTGCTCAGGTAATTGTTCATGGCTAACGCATTCGCGAGAGCCGGTAGACGTCAAATGTCTACTTGGCATCAGGGAAAGTCTCATATGTCAAGTCTCCACATTCTTCATATCCGTTGATATGCACAACAGAACTTACAAGTATAAGTCTTTCTCATACTCTCATTCCTTCCTTTTTTCTACACGCAGTCCCACTCTGCTTTTACAACCAAGCCCTTATTTTCAATATGAGGACAGCAAGCTTGTTGATTCTTCTGGCTTCTGCCAGAAGCATTTTGGGTTATTGTGACGATTCCTGTGCCTCCGCAATTACAGCAATTGGCGAAATCGATGTCGGTCTTCAGAGTCGTTCACGCGATTGCGCCCAATTCCTCGCGACGACCGTCACGCCCAATGCTTCGTTAGTCAGCTCCAACTCCATTCATGCTCTTGGCTAATTAATACAGGATTGCTTTGATTACCACAAGTGCCAATATGGAAGATTATCTACATGTTCCTTCTCCAAAATCCACTGCACCCGGCTTGATTCCCACTTACGCGTCAGCATGTGCCGCCAGCGCTGATTACGCATCTGCCTGTGCATGTGCGGCGGTCACACCCACAACTGTAGTCGCTCCAACTCCAACCACCTACCTTTATGATGAACTTCCTCTCTGCAACAACCCGGCCACATGTGCACAAGGATATGCTAAGTCATCTTGTGGAGGAGGCGCTGGTATCTGCGTTCCTGGCGGTGGGGAAGATGGCTCTGGATTTTGTATCGCCACTGGTAACTGTGGCTTGCGCTGCGCACGTAATTCAGATTGTCTCACTGGGATCTGTCTCACAGATGTTTGCTGTGGAAGCTCATGTTCCAACCCATCGGTTCAATTTGTCACGACCTGGGCTCCTCCTCGCGCTAAGCTCGCCAAGAAAGGCTTTAGTAGTCTATCGGATATTATTTCCAAGATTAAGAAAGTAAAAACGAAATTGTTGGGCGCGACGCACAACACAATCTTGGGTCCTTATCTTCCAGAAAACCCTCAACCCTTGATGTTGTAGGGTTCATATTGAGATGGAACTGTTTGGATTGCGGTGATGTCAGAAGTCGGGTCCGATTGGGCCATGTGGAAGTTGGCTCTCTATGCAATATGTATCTCTTTCAGTCGAATTTGTAGGGGAATTTTTCAAGGGTATTATTGGGTTTGTTGGTTTGCGTTCAAGTACATCTCACAGATCAATAAATGGTTGTTTTCATCTTCTTATTTTTACCAGGCTTCTTCATCTCGCAGTAATTTTACAACAAAATACCAAATGAAAAATCCGTTGGCGCAGATTTATGAACATCCCAATATCATATTGAGTCTCGCAAATGTGTAGAGTGCAATGCAATTCAGCTTTAATGTGTTTTTCTCGTCGAATATGACCATCAGAAAGAAATCAGTCAATAAGAGAATACCGTATGTCGTATGAGCCATTCCATCCCATCCCATCTCATTCCACAACCAGGGGCTCAAGTCTTATATTTATATGTATTAGGTGAGTGGCTGCTGAGCTGAGCGAGGCGTAGGCATTGTTTGGATGGTGTTTGCTGATTTGGGTCTATTAGTACCGATACCTGAGAAGTGGCGAGGATTGGGTTGTGGAATTGGATATGGATATGGATATGGGATATCGCGTTATATATAGAGCGTCGGACTCTGTGTTTGTTTCTGATATTAGTCTATAATGGTGGAAAATGCGGAGAGGGGGTGATGGGATAAGGGGTTATGGGAAGGGATGGGATGTGTAGGGTATGGAAGGGAAGGGGAGGGAAGGGAAGGGTTAGCTGGGATATGGAATGCGAAATGAAGAAAAAAATGAAGTGACAAGATAGTATTTAAATAGGGATCCTATCTGTATATCTAGTAGTATCTCCGTTTCTCCAACCGCAGTAAACTTCCCACTCTCTCAATATCATTGGGACTTTACTCAAGTATGTATAATTATAAAAAGAAAAAAAGCAGTTGTTAAAAGTCGTTTGAATTTCTCTCATAGAATGATATTAGGTAGGTAGGTATATGGATTTTATATATCATATTTTTCCTAGAAGAATATCTGTTGTTTATTAATAATAATCTATAATTAAATATTATTAGTTTTATTACGTATTGTATGTATTGCTATCTACTCTATGTAGATTTCAACTTTTAAGTTTGTGAATCCAAAGTTTTGTTGCACGTCTGAGATTTAAAAGCCTATCTTTTGATTCCACTATATGTATTATTCCTATGAGTTAAAAAGTTCAAATATGAGGATAACAATAGAGAATAAGTATATCTATCATAGGGCTTAAAACTAAGATTGATATCTTGGGTTGTTGATTTCATATCTATTTTCAAACAGGAAGTAAGGATCTCGTCGCTTTTCATTATGAGTTTGGATCTTCATTATCCGAAAAAGTCAAATTACGAGTATGAATTCGAAGTTTTGTTGCACATCTGAAGTTCAGAAGTCCCTCTTTTCAATACCTTGAAACAAATTAATGGAGTCATTGAAATATCCCAAAACTTCTCGATATATTAAAAAAGAAGCAGGATTATATGATTATTTAGGAATCAGAAAAAAAATAGTGTGTGGTTGATTTTATATTCTATTTGGTTTGAGAGGTTGTGTTTTGGAGGTTTTTGGAATCGGATTAAGGTTTCATGGATTGGATGGTAGGGATATTTGAAGGCGGGAAAATGCGATGAGATGCGATGCGATGTTATGTTATGTTATGTTATGTTATGATATGATATTTTGGTATTATAAAGAGGAAATGCAGATGGTATTTGTTACTTGTAATCTTCAATCAATATTTCAAAGTCTAGTGTATTGTCTTCTTATCAAATGAAGTCTTCACGGCATAATATATGATCCTTGTGAGGACAGTGAGGTTCACTTTTCCGGGATATGACACCAATGAGAAATAAATTCACAGAGACTTACACAACCACCAGATGGAGATTTAAATCGGGGGTAAAATCTCGTGAGAGATGGCGAACAGAAAGGGCGAGGTGGAATCGCAGATCTTGAAATAGCTAAAGAGGATTTAATGGGAGAGAAAAAACCTCGAATGCTATATCATGGTGCCATGCTGCTAAGATGAGAACATGAGTTGCACCGATATAACTGACTACACGTGATTCAACTCCTGTTGCAGTTGGTGAAACTCAATATTGAGGATGAGGGGGATCATGAAGCTATAAAACAACAATAATAAGACTCCAAAAACAACTCCAAAACCGTCCCCAAATTATAAACAGAATTTAAGAATTCTAACATACTCTAAATAATGTCGCGTAGTGCGCACTCTTGACACCTTTCACCAAACCAACGCGTCCTCGCCTATATATATCTAAAAGACAGCAAACATCTCAACCAAGACAGCGAATTAGTTCGGTGGGCAAGAGCTTGACTTCGGTCGGGAAGGCGTTTAATACACCAGTTAGGCACAAACAAGTTACGAAAGAGCTGTCTTGGCCACATCCTCGGGGAGATGGGAGATTTATTCTTTTGCTTTTTTTTACGTTGAGGGAATCGTCTTTTGTTACGTGTATATTGTTTTTTGATTGAGGAGGTATATCTAGATATCTGTCTGTCCTATTTGAGAATTGTGGAGCTCTGCGGAGAGAGGATGATGGGAGTGGGTGGTGCAAGCGAGGTGTGGGTGTGGTTGTTGTGATATATATGTGTTTGCTGTGAAGGTTGGGATGAGAGTACTGGTTTTGATTCAGTGCCGACCTCATTCAATTAAGCCTGCGTTGGAGATGTATCTCAACTTTGAGAAACCTCAACCAACACGGATGATATTGACTTATATACAAGTCACTCGACCTCGAAGACATCAGTCATGTCATCAACCATAACAATGCGAGCGAGCTTAAGCATGGAGCAAGTACTGAGAAACGGAGTTGTGCGTGGAAAGCAGTGCACCTGGACTTGGATTGAAATATTATGAATCCCTCATAAACACAAACATAGGAGACATGCCATGCAAAGTTTTGTTAAGCGCTCGACTGAACAACGGGGGTAATCAACTCTCTACGCCTCATATGCTTCCAATTGTTGCAGTGGTCATTACCGTTCGCAGCTCGGGAAGATATCATCCTATCTATCACTTTCCTCTACATTACTAGTCTAGCACGAAGTCTATGCCGATTGTGTGTGCTATTCATAATAGGCCATTCTGTAATATTGTTTACCGGAACGCAATATTGAGCGTACCGATTCATTTTGTATGTATCCATATGGATAGATATATCAGATAGTTTACTAAATAATGTCAGTACCGACCTGGTTCTATTTAGAAAGAACATCCATCATAGCGTATCTCCAAGATGAAGACAACAAAGGATAAGATAAGTTTCTTAGGCAATTGGGTGTTTGATTGCTTGGTATCTTATCCTCCTCCTCACTGATAAACTCCTTGCCACTCAATCTGTTTTCCCATGCTTGAATAGGAAGAAGTTATCTCGGTGAGGTTTGAGGTTGCTTATTTGGAGTAGATTCGCCGGCACTGGGCAGTGGCTATAATTGCATTCTTGTTTATTGTGATTTTCAGTTGGTCATTTGACTCCTCACCGAGCTTTCTTCTAACGTTGGAATCATGCTGATCTAGATCGTAATTTATATAGGCATCTTCACGCAAATCTCCTTGAGATACCTCTAGTGAAGCTTGTTGTTGGTGATGGTGGTTTGTGGCTTTCGTCTGACTCTGAGAGGCTAGCGTCCTGGTCGAACCTCTCAAATTACTCAGTAAGAGAGATCTTAATCGTCGCACTACGACTGTGTGTTTTTATATTTTTATTACTGTATACTGCAAAGTTAGACGTGACGATGAGATACAATATGAGTGATTGATCGCAATAATTGAGCTTATGTTATCAAGGCGCTAAAATACCATCCAATGATGGATGGGTTTATTACTATGTAAATATGTACAAACACTACTCGAGTAAGGTAGCTAATTATTTTTCTACAGAAATCTCTCCCTCATACCTTTCTCAATCACGCTTTCCAGGATGAATATCTTCCGGAATCGAACCCAATTCCATTGGATGCCTTCTTGATCCAGCTCTCTACGACCTTAAAGTACTCGACATTATTCTTTTCGAGAAATCCAAAGTGAGCATTGCCATGAACACCAACATCAGCCATCTTGATCCAATTAGCCTTCACACCAACTTGGTTGAGGTACTGAATAATGCAGTGTTCGTACGTGATGTGCGGAGATGCTTCACCGGTGAATGCGACATATGGGACCTTGGCTATATTAGGGAGAGTATGGATGGTGTAGTTTTCGGCGGTGCTGCTTTGCTGTATGCAAGATCTCCTTTCGAGGGTATCTTCACCCACCGTCTCGGTGATGAGATCGGTGTAGTTGGAGATGGGTGGATCATAATTGAGATTGGATACGGTCAAACCGAATGGTCGAGTAGTGGTCCTTCCAACAGACGATGTTGCATTTCCAGTATACGATTCAAAGGGGATATTTCCGGGTTCGAGATTCACATTACCAAGCACTAGATCTGGACATTCGTCTGAAATTACAATGGGGTGGATTGCGCCGATGGAATGGGAAATCAAGAACGAGGGACCGATCAGATGAAGAAGCTGGCAACCAGCTGCACGCATTGATATTTCCTGTCGTGTGTTGTTGGTGGTCAAGGGCATGAATCCACTTTCAAAGGCATCGAAAATAGGATCTCCGCGAAGTCCAGTTCCGGGCCATTGAGTATGTAGTTGGCTTTGGGGATAGGCATCCGCGATTTCTGGAGCAGTGAAACCAACCTATATGAATAATGATAAGTCTCATTTACACCGGCACCTCTGGAAAATGGAAAAGTACCTCGCTGATATTTGATGTTGATCCAATTCTTAATGGATACCCTGTCAAATCCTCCTGGGTTCCTCGCCCTACACTAGTTTGATCGACGATATATACTTGATAATTAAGATCCAAGAACATAGACGCAAAGCCTTTGCGATTGTCAGGTGTGTTGAGCCATGTCTAGACTTGGTCAGTTGATGCTTGTTGTAGAAAATCATTTGAGGTGGAAAAAAATGCTACATACTGCTCCAGAAACTCCTCCACCATGAAATAACACCACAGGATATGGCTTCTTGATACCCTTATGAGGCGTCAATTTCTCAACATACATTTGATCATATGTCAACAATCCAATCGCAGCATTTACATAATGCCCGCCAACCCAGAACACATCACGCTGATAGTACGACTCTTTCGATTCGCATTGGGGTCTAATTCCATTAATTCCAGTACAATCCAGATCATCTCCAAAAAGATGAGCCGAAGATACTGTTGCAAGGCCAATAACGAGCGACCAGAGGAAAAACATGTCGACAAAAGTATAAAAAGAGTGGGTGAGATGAAGATCGAGTATGAATTGAGAAAGAAGATATTTCCTACGAAAAAAGGTTCATGCCATTACATGCCACATGGTAATGAAATGACAATGGAAATCGAATTCCACCTTGCAGGTTGCTTGTATGTAATCTTACAAGATTGATTGCATTATTATCATCATCGGATACTTGTAGATCATATCCCATTTCGAACATATCCACTGATTAGAGACGGAAAATTCTAGGCAAGTGCTAGAACTTTGTGCGTAAGGATTATGCTCCAGGAATCTGTCCCTTAGACCACTGTGTGCCCGAGCTCATCTCTAAATGACATGAATTTCTGGAATTCCATCAAAACCTATTGAGAAAACCGAACAAGCAAGTGCTGTGGACTCTTTATATTAAGAGCAAGGTCCTGCTATATATATGTGGTGTTCATGGTTGAGACGAAACACTTCATATAGGTACATAGATGAAGGGCAAAAATCCAAACCTATGAAGTTTGAGGGAGTGCAAGTTGCAACGGAAGTTTTATGGAAGGGAACTTATAAGTGATGTGCTCAGACTGCATTAAATTGGTTGAAACCGGGAGGATGTTAAGCTAATGATTTAGTAGGGATTTTCCCGTGATTTTTCGAGCTGATTGATAAAATTATGCGGGAACTTACGAAGATACGAGTCATGGTCATGGAAAATTATTATTTCTTGGGGTTGTGCAAAATGGGGTGGTGGAATTGTGTTGTTCAAATTGGACAATTAAGCTTATAATTGTGAAAATCCTATTTGTACGGAACCTCTCTCTACCTTGTCCTGAAAACTCGATAAGAAAGCTCTTGGCTGAATGCTGATAGACTCTGATAGAGAATACCGGTAACCTTGGCACACAAGTTCACGGTATTTTCCCACTTAAACAGTTAGACTCATCAGTTCAAGGTTCTGGATCTCAATATAATTTGTTAGTCGAGGTGGGTTTTCACGCTCAATCGTGGTACGAGATCAATAGCTTCGGTTGGTTCCCCATTGAAAGTTTGTCTTACACATCAGTCCACTGAGTCCAGTAGTCGACCACTTCCCACAACCCGAAATTTCCCCTCGCGATGTTCTCTCTCCTTACAAGTTACAACTCCAATCATTCTCGAATACCGTATACTTTCGAAGATTCGGATAAGCTAAGCAGTGATTAAAACTTAAGGTTATTCTGACAGGCCTGACTTCTGTATTCCTATTGGCAGGAATCCTTCATCTGATCAGCAATTATACTATATTAAGTCAACTGATCGACTAATCGGCTTTCAATATCTGATAGATCGGCGTACAGGATTGGGTATTCAGGACGTTGATCCGACTGGGATCACGCTTACCAGAAAACATACTAGCAAAACAGCCTCAAGTGAGGATTTGGCAAGTTTGATATTGTTCCAGAAAGTCTATCGTTGTTTAGAAAGAGGGACCGCCCTTTAGTTTCGGCCCATTAGACAACAAATTGAAGCACTGGCTGGTCGTCATGGATTTGTTGAATACCGGTACCAAGACTTCATTCCAGATAAAAACGTCGCTCAAGCCTCAGATAACGGTACCGTAGTTCGCACAGTCGAGATAGTCTGTGACCATCGAAGCATGAAACTTTAAATCGCACGATGAGGTCGCTTAAAGGTGCGCAAGGCGCAGCTTGTGTCCTTATGGGATCGGATGGGGAAACTCGTCGGTCAAACGTCCTAAGATGTGATGAAGATGCAATTTGGGTGGATATGCGTTACACAAGGTATTCAGCTCTTTTAAAAGGACTCGAGGAGGATCTCTCCGCAGTTTTGCTCGTGATCGAAGTGATCTCTACCTTATTCCAGCCTGGCATCCCGCAAATCAATTGGAAACTTTTGAACTTCTGGAGGCTTGTTGGTACGGAGATGCGAGAGCGGGAGACTGGTAGGGATCGACTGGTTCGATACTCAAGGTACAGACTGATCCAAACCCAATCGACCTTAGAAAATCATTGTTACTGAAGGATTTATGCCTAAAATGCGCTCAAATTCATGGATGGACCTTCCAAGCCCTCGACGGACATCATCTGTTTTCACGAAATACCCTTCCCTGTTACACACATCTCTCTACCGTGAATTTCTGCACGATGGAATTTCACGGCGATGTTCCCAATGACGGGATATTCCCAAGGGGGTTTCATTCAAGCGTTGTGTCATATGTTACCTATGCTTTAATGATTTGAAGTCTGTCGGAGCCTCGCGAGGAGACTAAGTCTGTTTTGTTCAGGCTCTTTCTACTCGTCAAATAGTTCGTGCATTTCTTCATCGTAAAGTCTTGCATGTAAGAATTGGTGAACCATTCAATGCAGACCTCGAACCTAATTTCCCCCGCGATATCCCACCCCCCTTCCCCCAGAGTTCTGGCTTGAGGGTCTTCTACATTGCCGTTGGAGTTAGCCTGTTCAGCGGTCAACTGGAGAATTGGACTCATTTGTCCCACGCACGAATCGAGCTTCGAGTTCCGATCTATCTTGCCATGTCTTCGATACTATCGTCGTCATCAACCATTGCCTCTGCAACCTCAACTTACACAAACTCTATTCCCACGGGTACCATATCCGCACTCATCGGCCAGCCCCCAAATACCACCAATGACTACTACATAGTCGCCTACCTCCTTACCGCCTTCGGGCAAAAAACCTCCCCTCTCAAAGGAATTGTCATTCCCCCCCTCGCACCCACAAATTACGTTTACGAAAGCCGCGCCAATTCAATCCTTGTCGGAATGTCCGTATGCATCTTCTTCATGTTCACCTTTACGCTCATCCGTCTACTCATCCGCCTCCTGAATCGCGGTCTCAAACTCGGTCTCGACGATCTCTTTATCGTCCCCGGCGTCATCCTCGCTATCACTTGGCCTGTTCTGCAAATCCTCGCCGTGGTTTATGGAGGCGCCGGAAAACACATCTGGGATGTTACGTATGAGGAATATGGATATTTCAAACGCTACACGAATCTATCCAAGATATTCTTTTTTGTGGCGGTGGGAGTCGTGAAAGTTTCGATTTGTCTTTTTAATCGCAGACTTACTTCGATGACGTCGCGCAATTGGCTGATGTTCAATAATGTCTTTCTCTTTTTACTGGTCGTCTATATCATGGTCTCGCTCTTCTGGAACATCTTCTCGTGTTCGCCGGCGTGGGGAGGTTGGGACGCAGTGAGGTTGGGGAGAGAAAATGTCGTGGCGGTTTGTTTTCCAGTGGGCACTTCGGGGTCCATCTTAAGTACCATTCATGTGGTGATGGATTTTGGTCTCTTGGCTGTACCGTTCGTCGTCTTGTGGAAAGTGAAGATGGGGTGGGGGACTAGAGGAAGATTGTATGTTGTTTTTGCGGTCGGGGGTGTGAGTATGATTGGGAGTATCTTGAGACAGATTGCACAGACGAAATTGAGTTCGGATGTTTTATGTAAGTTGGACTTTTTTTTTCAATTTTTTGGTCTTTATATTGAGACACAGGCTTTGATTGCTTTTGCCGGATGGCATCAAAATAAAAGCAACAAGCAGCTAACAAAACTCTCAGGGTCGTTCAAATCGCTCGAAGACTGGACACTAGTCGACCTGACCCTGGGTGTTATCGCCGCCTCACTTCCCGTTCTTTCAGCTATTATCCCTGCTAAATGGAAAAGCATCCACACCTCCTCGTACAAAAATCCCTCTCACCTCGGTTCGTATCCTCTGTCAAAACCGGGACATTTTAGGCGTTCGAAAATGCCAAGGATGAGTGGGAAGGAGAGGGGTAAGGGTACGAAGATCAAGGGTACGATTGGGACGTTTGGCGAAAGCGAGGAGAATATTGTGAGGACGGATGTTATTGAGTTGAGTTTTCAGAGTAAGATTGATTTGGAGAGGGGAGAGGGAGAGAGGGAAGAAGAAGGAGAAAGAGAAGGAGAGAGGAGTGCAAATGGAAATGGAGGTAGAAGCGAAAGTAGGAGTGGGAGCGCAAGTGCAAGTACAATGGATACAGAGGGGAGTTCAGACGGGAAAGAAAGTAACGGAAAAGGCAAGATAACGAGGAGTTTCTCGCGAAATAAAAACAGGAGTCGAGGGGATTCAGCAGAAAGAGGTGTAAGATTAGATAAGGGAACGGAAGAATGGCATGGAGGAAAGGGTCAATATGGTCATAGAGTAGAGATTGGGAGGCATGAGTGACAATTACGGGATTATGGGGGGTGGATGGGATAGGGATGGGATAGGATGGAATAGGGGGTTGGCTTTATACTTTGTAATCTATGATTGATGAGGTGGTGGTGGATATAAATAATGGAAAGGAAAAGAAAGGCGGGTTTGGGTGGTTTAGAGGGTTGGGTGGTGGGGGAAAAGATATAACTCCAAGAGTGCTATCAATCTACATTTCAAAAAAGTAAATATAGCTAAAGCCAGCTGGCTCCTTACATTTTCGCGCTTCCGGCATCATATGGTAGATAATGAAGGCGGATAGTATTTATGATTATATATATAGGTAGGTAATTATCAAAATAATATCATTCCCCAAGTTGTTTACACCATATTTCATTTAACCACATTATCCACTTCATTCACAACCCCATCATCGTCACCAACCCCCAAACTCCTAGCAATCCCAAGCCCCTCAATCCATTGAACAAACTCCCGATCCTCTTTAAATTATCTACACCGCCATTAAACACAATACTTGTAATAGCATTCGCACCCGCACTTTCCGTAGGAGTCGAGCTCGCATCCGCATCCCCTTCTCCATTCCCATTCACGGTTTGGATAGCTAGAATGCCCGGTTCGTTGGATGTACTAGAACTAGAACTAACACTACCACTACCTTCTACACTTATCCTATGTGTCAAGGTAGTGTAGTAAGTAATTACGGCTCTATCGGAACTATAGACGATTATCTCACTAGTTCGGATTTCAGTGATGGAATTGCCCGATACAGAAGGAGTCGAGGTGGGAAGAGGGAAGGTGGATACGATGCCCTCAGAGTATTGGACGATTAATCCCGCGGCACCAAGTGTAGATATGACGGAATTGGAGAGGGTTATGGCTGGGCCAATGAGAGAAATGGTTTGAGAGCCAAGGAGTAGGGTTGATGCAGAGGCTGTTGCGGAGATTATCTGTCCTCCTGAAAGTGTGGCAATTGCACTTGAGGCAATTACTACGAGACCCTCAGACCGAATCTAGCAACCGGATTGATAGCTGGGGCGCCAGAGGTAATGATTTGACCAGCCACGATAAGAGTCCATGCACCTGGAATTACGGAAATGACTTTTGCGTCGGCAAGAGTGGCGAGTTGATTTGGGGTTTCTGCGGAACTGGCGACTGCGGGTGTCGGGATGATGTAAACGCTTGATTGAGATAAATCACCTTTTGCGTTTCCGATAACGAGAACAGAAGGCGTGAGTTGGATGAGAGAAGAAGATATGGTTATTGCAGCTCCGCCCAGTGAGGCAGTTTGACCTGCTACGAGTATTGTTGAGTCACCAGGAACTGCGGAGATGGTTGAGAAAGCGATCGTTACGATTGGAATGGGAGTATTTGCGAGAGGGATAGCTGCTGATGATACATGCTGTGGACTATTAACAATGGTGTTTGGATCTTGAACGGCTAGGATAACAGTTGAGAGTACATTGGACGATGATACTTCGATACTAGGAACAATAGTGTCTGGAGGTGCTGAGCTGGATACTTGTACTTGAGTAGCAGAAGTAGAAGTACTAGGAAATAGTACATTCCCAGTGGCGGTCTTCGATGGTTGATTTGGTGAGAACGATTGAGCTGTACTTGCTGGTATTGAAGTTGAAGTTACTGGACTCGCCAATGTCACAGGTAAAAGGGCATTAGCAGGAGGTACAGCTCCAAAGGGATCGAAAAGACCAAGCCGCGCATTGTCTTGACCACAGTGTCGATAATATGGGCTATTGACTTATTAGTGAGGCTCGTTTCTCTTCACGACTGAATGACTTACAGTCCAAGTGATTCAATTTGGAGTCTAGGGATGTCGAAAGCTGGGAAACATCTATTGTAATCATCTGCCATAGCATGAACATTTTGGATGGCTCCGTTAGTCGACGCTTCAGTCATTGTGATTGTTGAGCACCCAGAAATGATATCGGTCAAAGTAAGCAGTGCAGCTGGCGACGTGTTGACCTGCTGATCAGATGCTGTGTATAATGCAATAGTTGAAACATCAGTAGGATCTATCGAAATGACTATATTGCTCATCGTTGGACCACCTAACCACAACTATTATACCCACTGATTGTGTTTATGATCATGTACATCGATGGGGAAGTCCTGAAATTTTTAGCATCAAAACATGAAAATTCATGAAGAATACCAACAGTAACGCCTATGTCCTCATTGTAATACGTGGAGGGGTAGGTGAAAGTCCCACTGGCTGGAGGAAAGTACGATAATTGAACTGTTCCAGCAAATCTATTGTCCAACATCAGCAAGATCAATAGATAGTGGTAAGTTTCAATACATATGACATGGTGTCCAAACAAGTTGGGGAGTTATTCCACCAAGATTCCATGTAGTACAGTTGTTTATCGGGATGGTTTGGTTCCCCCAATACGGGCCTGGAGTGACAGGAAATGGTTCCGTCGTTGATTCGACGTTTAAATATGAAAGTGTTGCTGATGGAGTGATGGTAAAGGAGCGGATCCTAATATCGTAGATGCTGGAGTTGCAGAAGTCGTGAATTTATATGGATAACTACAACATACGTGCAAGTTAAAGATTTTCGAAGAGGCACTGATCGTTATGAGATCGAACAATGGAGACTCACCGGCGGCCTGGTAAAAGTCAAGAAGCAGTAAAACCGCTAAAAGTGATACAAGTCGCAGAAACATTATGAAAAAGCTTTAAAGAACAAACTAAAAGAGTGTGGATTGGGTAAAGAACGACGCAACAGGAACTAAAAATTACATTGCCATAGACTTATAAATATATAATGTGCCAACTCAAGTTAATACTCGGGAATCTGGATCAACCGCAACTCCTAAGCATTTACAGTTTTGCATAGAATATGGAAATTGAAAATAATTTTCTGGGGTTCGTCTGGATCAAATGTGATAAATGTGACAGACGTCAATCCCCAGTTCGTGATATCCGGGGCACCCATCTATCGGTGAACTATAGACAAATTTGTGGCTGCACCACTTTGCTTGTTGGAGTCTTACATGGGCACGCCAAACCCTCGTGGTTGTCGGGGACTATATCCTTAGCGGAATCATCCTTCCACGGGTAGCGGTTAAACTTTCAGGGGAAGAAGATTTTAATAGTGGATGATGAAGAGGGAAAATAAGGATGCTGACAAAAGCAAATACCCCGTGGGTATATCGGATCGGGGTGCTGTCTTCCGGACGATTCGATTCAGCTCCCTTGCCATAAAGCAAGTAAATTTACTCGAGTAATGAAATGTGAATTTATCAACTTTGATGTGAAATTGCCTGGTGTGATGACATCCTGCACTGATCAAGACTAAGGGACTTCTCAGTAATCCGGCGCTTAGTGACAAGTGACAAGTGACAAGAGAAAAGTTCAAACACCCCCACGTGTATCAAAACATTCGCAATAGTGATAACAAAGAGACCTACGAACGCGTTGCACGTTATTTTATCCGAGTCTAGACAAGTGGGTGCTCAGAGGTGTTTACCATTGCCCATGAATGTAGCCAGGAGGGTAGGACCTTTGGTTCGGATGTTTGGAGTATAATCTAAAACGACCAGAAATGGAACGATCGCGACATTGTTATTCTAAAATTCCAACAGTTGGTCTGTATTATATCTGTGATAGGTGGGAGTAGATTGTAGATTTGGTAATTATGATGTTGATACCGGTAGATGTCGGCAAAACCGAATTTGACTAAGCCGAATAATGCCTCAGGTGATTCTGCTCTCATTTTGTCCGTCTCGTTTCTTCCCAACTTCTACTCAGTACGTATACTCCGTACATCATTTTCACCCGCACCCGTTTGTCTACCTGTTTACTTTCATAAATATTTCAAATTGTATTGTTATTAGTGGTGATTTCATCTCCTATGTTCGTGAAGTCTTTCAATTTGGCTAGTAACCTTATTTCAATATTGTTCCAGGGAGAGAATGCAAATTCCATGAGCTGCGCCGCAGCCTTACAGATATCTCCAACATTAGCATCTGTAATCATTGTTGTTCCCCCTGGGTCTGAATAGTTTCTGCTTATTGGTGCCAGGATGGGTTTCAATCTGCGAACACTCTATTCTGTAAGGTTATTTAACCGCGCCTTATTGAAGGGACGCCTGTTGAAATGTGGAATTGAGGTCATGGCAAGCTCCATTTTACCCGTGATAGGATTTTGATTTGCATTGACCAAATTCTGTCGAGATTAATACTTAAATCTCTTTTCTCAATCATTGCCTCGAAATTCTTATTTTGTGATTTCCAGTTCGCCCATTGTCGAACTCATGTTTGCTGGAAAGCCGTTATGAAAATACGGTTCCATAACGGCCTTCTGTTTGGTTCGGTTGTTGCCCTAAAAGTCATATGCAGCCCATTGAATGGTGTACCTGAAGGTCAATTGAAGTCGAATCAGGTCATTCCCTCTCCATTGGTAATACCAGCTAGTGAATACTTTGTGAGTTTGTGATGCTATTTCCGCTTTCAAAAAGAAGACTAACAGTCTCTAGGATGGCGATGATGGAGCATGGTCATCTTTAGCATTGAGAGTTGGGAACCCTGCTCAAGAAGTTCGCGTTCTGGTATCAACGAATTCACCCCAGACGTTAGTTTTCTTGCCCCTCGGATGTACATCTGCAGCAATCTCGCCGGTACCAAACGGCTGTGCCAATTCTCGTGGAGGATTAATCAACAATAGTCTATCCAATACTTCGGAGGATCGAGGCATATTTGGAGTTAACGGAAATGGGGTCCGATTCCAGGCGGATCTGGTATATTCTCAAGTGGCGGACTTTGGCCTAGATTCGATAGGGCTTGGATGTGTTTCAGGAACAATTGGTCCTACTCTCGACAACCAAACTATTGGTGCTATTGCTACTGCTTCACCATTCTATACGTATGTAGCCGGAATCTTGGAGTTATGGCTGATTCAGAGAAGAGGAATATTTGGACTTGGTACTCAGCCATTGAATTTTACGACCATAGGAATTTCTTCGACCAACTCTTACTTCTCATCTTTATGGTCGCAGAAACTAATCCCAAGTTCCACCTGGAGTTACACAGCTGGGGCAAAATATCGTATGGCTGTCTCTCCTTTCTCGCATTCAAAATCCAAAAGCTTCTCACTGGCGGTATTTCAGGGCTTAAAGCTGGTCAATATGCACAATTGATTTTCGGAGGATATGATACTTCTCGATTTACACCCAACTCTGCGTCTTTCATTCTTTCTTCAGACGTTGACCGAGATATCGTTGTGGCAATCCAAGCAATTACTTACAGTGGTACCACACAAGCTATTTATTTAATAAATTAACGTCCAGGGGGTAGGCTCCGCCTACCCACGACCTCCCGAAGGGTACTGGGGACGGGCTAAAATAAGGTACTAATTACATAAACACAGAAATCCACATTAACACCTCGAGATAGCCAATTTCCTTGCATTTCCGATGTAAGCTCTAGTTCCAATGCTGAGTGAGGGGATACCATTCCTTCGCTTTGGTGATAAACTTGTTGTGTGTGGGTTGCCCACTCCGTTTAGGGTATGCTCATTGTCGTTAAAGAGCTCTTGTAAGCTTGTGTAGTTATATTTATTATGACAAGGGGGTGTTTTACAGTTTTTCCTGAGGTGTGGCGGCGAGGGTCAGGCCGCAGGGGATGTGGCCCGTTTGAGTTGTATGTTTTTTTTGGGACAGGGGTCGGGTTGTCACGGGGTTTGGTCCCGTAACGAGGGTAGGTGCAGGTAGGTATACATGTGTACATGTAAGTGAGGGCAGGTTGCCTTGCTTTTATCCAGCTTGGTTGGGGCGTTCGAAACACCTGGGTTACCACATAAGCTCGTCTATTAGCAAGTCCTACTTATGCTTTTGTTGAATCAACCGATCCAAATTTCTGGCTTCCCGAAGCAGAAGCAGCGTGTCAAGAATTTGAAAAACCGTTCGGCCTTTCGCTAGATAATACTACTAGCCTATACCTAATTAACTCTGCGCAATACTCTTTATTAACGACTACCAACCCTCAAGTTACATTTTCTTTGGCAAATGTATTGACAGGTGGTAATATCGCATCGATTGTTCTACTTTCCAATGCCTTCGCCCTATTAGCCTCATATCCTTTTGTTCCTAATGATACCTATTACTTTCCTCTCGGAAAGTCGGCCAACGACAGTCAAAACACTTTAGGGCGAGCATTCCTACAAGAAGCGTAGGTAATTTTGCAACAATTCTCACCTTCTTTCTGACGATCGTCTAGATATTTCACCGTTGATTACGAACGTGGAAACTTTACCGTTAGTCAATGCACTTGTATTGATGGTGCCACGACTGATATCAGCACCATCATATCTCCCACCTTAACCAATTCCACATCTACCCCACAAACATCGCCTGATACCAATTCCAACTCAACGAAACATCTATCAGTTGAAGTAATTTGCGCTATTGAGGCTATTTTGGTTGTGATCATCGGTATTGGTGCTATTGGTGGGTTATATCTATGTCGTCGTCACAAGCGTCCCATATCTATTGCCGAAATCCCCCTGCGTGACATCGATGAGGATTTTTCGAAAGATAGATCTCGCATAACGCCATCGCCAAAACTTCATCAGATTCCTACCCACACGATACAAAAGTACCAATGGTCGAAGCGCCAGGCCATGAAGTGCGTGAACCTGTGGAACTTCAATCTCTCGATCTGAATGAACAGTCATATTTCATTCGAATGAAAAACAAGCTCACAGAAATATATACAAAGACATTTAAAAGCTCCTTTGAGGATTACGCAACCACTACACGCAGTATGGATTCCCAAAGAAAGACTACAATGACATTTGAGATGGATGCACAGCCCACAGTGTTTGAACTCCCTAGTAGTAATCCATCAATTGGGATGAATGATGAGAGAAGTAGACATACATCAACACCACCCTTACCTAGATCTCTAGTCTCGCGACAATCTTCTTCTTTTCAAGATGGACCTTCATTATCATCACAGCATTCTTCATACCAAGGAATCTCCCCCACTTTATCCCCAACCATATCAGCACAATCATCAAGTCTCCGCATTTCCTCCAGACAAGGAAGAATATAATATCTCTATTTGCCGATCTCATAAGACAAGCTTCTACTACCGAGTATTGGCGGTCAAGATCCTATCGATAAAAACCCATTCTCGTTTTCAAATATACAGCTTCCTATTGAACACAAGGACTGAACACATGGATTGAATGAGAAAACCTGGCACAGGAATATTGGGCAACTCGGCATAATCAAAAGAAACGCCTCTCTCTCTCCATGAAAAGTCCCTTACTTAGACACCCTCTCTCAATAAGTATGAGTATTCGTTTTAGATATGGAAACCCGGTCTGGAATCGGGAAGGAGTATAGTATCGGTTATTCCATTGAGAGCTTCTTCTATTGTCATGACGTCTATTTGGATGGAAGTATTAAGTTCTTGTACATGTTCTTTTCTTCTGATGTTTATATTCTCTAGTGTTTGTATGCTAGTGGTGTGGGTTCGGCATACTCAATTTATATTTACTACCTTTTTTGTATTTATTTCTTCCTTTTCATTTATTTTTGAGTATATATAAAAGAACACATCTTGGAATATGTATGAACGAAGCTAGAGCTTGAGCTTTTCTTGGTCTCTGAGACTGGTGGAATCATTATAGCCATCAGTTATCATATTATAAATCCTCTAATTGATGTATACACGAATTATCATCAATCTATTTGTTGAGATATAGGTGAATATGGTCATGTGGTCATGCACTAGGCATTCACGTCCATATAGGTCTTCCCATTGTCAAGTGGGAATAGCCTCAAAACTCAACCACTACAACAATACAAGAATTATTATATAGATCTGATTAACATCACCACCGAGGTGATACCAACACTATTCTATCTTCAAGATTGCGCTTTTCGCTTTATGTATTGTGGTTTTTAAACGCTAAGGTTAATTACTTGCTAGTTACTCGGACCATTTCAGTGCAAAACACTTGTTCATAGGCTTATTTATAGGCTTGCTAGTGGAGATCTCTGAAAAAAGAAGTTGAAGTCGCTGTTAGGAATAAGGAATAAGGAAGAGGACGGATGTATGTTATCCAAGTATATGCCGTGCTAGACTCGGATGTCGGTTTCGAGTCCTCGTCTGCTATCACCATTCCCATTCCCATTCCTATTTCAATCATGAAATCACCTTCCTCTCACCCTCCCCTCACTCCCTCCCGCCTACCTCCCCACAACTCCAACTCTTCCCCTCCCTCGCCCCCTCTCCAATCCCCACCCCACTAGCCCAAAGCCCCATCCCACAAATAACCGCCCCCACCCCCACCAACCCCACATTACACAAAAACAATCCCCTCATCCACCACCCTCCATTCCACCTCCCCTTATTCCTATACAAGCCAAAAATGCCCGCCAATCCATACGTAAACCAGCTTGCAAACAGCGCACTCACCAACCCCAACAACTCATTAAACACCGGTATCGACTCCGCAATCACCCACGCCACTATCCACAGAAGCGCCGTAATCCCCAACCAGGAAAACATGCCGCGTCTCGTGCGTGTCGTCATGTGAATGGTGTCGTGGTAGATTTTGGAAAAGACGTATTTACTGCAGACGTGACCGAAGATGACGCCGGCGATGACGATGGTGGGGATGGCGAGGCCAAAGGCTATTTTGGATATGAGGGGGCCGGCGGATGAAAGGGCGGGGGAGGCGACGCTGGATCCGGCGTAGATGTAAATTATGCTGGCTGAGAGGAGGTAGAGGGTTATTTCGATGATTTGGAGTGTGGCGAGGGATTTGGGGAAGTCGGAGGGGTCGCGGAGTTCGGCCATGAAGGCGAAGAAGGCGACGTGTCCTCCTGGGGAGGGAAGGAGGGGGTTAGTTGGTTGGGGTTTGGGGGGGGAAGGAGGTTGTGGAGGTGATGGAGGTGCAGAGGGGGACGATGAAAAATTAAAGAAAGGAGGCAGGGAAAAAATACCATAAGCGAAGACGATATTGGTAACACTCAAGAATGCTTCTCGGAGTGAAAGATCTTCTTTAGGCCAAAGAGTATAGTTTTTCTCCGCCGGTGCTTGAACACCCACTGCTACCATCGTGACGATAACTGCAATGAAGATACTCGTAAATGCTATATTTTATTAGTCCTCAATTCCACGACCATACAACATTCCATCCGTGATACCTCAACATCACAACCCAATCTATAAAAAGACCCCTCGACCTCCAAAAAACCAAGAAATAAAACGAGAAAACCCACAAGCAATACTCATATAACTCATGCCCCTACACGTTCTCGGCAAATCCAGAATCCAAAAAAGTCCCATGCCCACGACCCCCCACACAATATTACACGTAGCATGACCCGTCAACGTATCCAAACAAATAATCCACGTCAATATATGACTGCCCATCACAAACAACATAAACAGAACCTGCGCCCCCCCACCAATTTCCCTCCCCACATTCGGAAATCCGAGCGGCGTAAACAGTATCTCGAAACAATCAGCCCAGCTGTGGATTTGCGGATACGCGCTCCGGAAGAGATGCATTTCGTAGCCAGAGTACCAGGCCATGATCCCCATGCCGAGAATTAGTATGAGGCCCGGGATGAGCCCCACGGTGGCGAGTACGGAGGGGAGGGCTAGGATGCCAAGGGAAATGGTTTCGGCGATCATGATGGCGGCGCATTGCCACCAGGTCATGGATCGGTAGTGGATTTCTTGGCTGTTTGTTGGTTGGGAGTTTTTTTCGAGGTCGCTGGTCCGGGTGCGGGTGGCTGCTTGGACTGTGGTTGTCGAGTTGCGGCTGGTGAGGGTGGGTGTGGAGTCCACATCGCTGAAGTAGGATGGCGGTTGTATGACGACGGGGTGGTGCTGTGATGGGTTGAGCTGTGCTGCAAATGGTTGGGACATTATATGAGAGCTGATTAGTTGATTGGTTTGCAGATTTGTTAGCTAATTGATTCTGATCTGATTGTAAAATTCAATACCAATAGTTTCATGAGCCCGGATCGGATATAGTAAATGAACAGTTGAGGAAAAAGTGTGAAAAATCTGAAAACGTTTCAAAGTTTGAGAGGGAAAGTCGACGACTTATGCGGGTGGTATATTTGGCCTGAAGAAGGGGCGATCAAGACGTGATCAATCGTCAAATCGCATGATGGAGATACTTTCTTGCACCAAAGTAAAATGGATGAGGCTTCGGTAAAAGCTACTAATTCGGCACATGCTCGAACCAAATCAAGGTCCCACGCCCATCAAGGGCATTACTTTAGAGCTATTACATCTAGCTCAACCTACTACTCACCATCATCCTATCAAAACACCCCCAATGCTTACTTAAGCCAGTACTAAGAACTAGTGCCTCGACGGCACGAGTACCGACATGCTTGAATCCTTTTGAGCAGATAGCTCTCGATCAATGCGTCATAGTACATTTTGACAGTATGAAGCTTGTAAAAGTCGGTTTATCTCACAATAAGAACAAGCCATGATAGGACGAAGCTTCCAAATTGGCAAGTCTAACCTCTCATTAAGTGGGGTCTGAACCTTTTTCGCCTGCGAGGATCGTTCAGTAGAGCTAACTACTGGGTCCAGGGCAGGTGTAATCGGTTCGGGGCAAGTGGATCCCATTTCTTGCGGAACTGGGGTTTGAATTGCAACCCTCCATCATTAATTGTTGATACCAACGGTATCTAGTCACTGAACTTTTTTCTTTTCTAAAAATGACATAGTAAAAGTTACCCAGAATATTGCCTACTAATAAACACCATTTCAATCGCTGTTCGCTCCCAAATACAAACGAAGCTGATGACCAATTGTCTTGAGATCCAAAAAATGCCCACAGCTTGAAATGTTCAGCCAAGTATTGTGAGATCGACCGAACTTTATCAGGGAGCTATCTAAAAGAAGTTAAGCAGCCAGAACACTCCTTCCACCATCATTGGTGAGCCTTCCCCGCACTTTCATCTTGATGTAATCTGTACCCAATTTTCTTAATGCTTGTCCATCAATGTCATCATCGGTTTCAATGTCCTTCCCATTTCGCTTCCTTGTCACCGAGTCACCACTCTCCCTCTCGACGTACAATCCAGCTGTGGACTCAATGGGTATGTCACCATGTAGTAATCTGCTGCTATGGTGATGATCACTCCCAGTACCAATCACTGCTTCTGGTGCAAACAATAAAGCTTCACCCACTTGTAGCCTTACGATTTCCTTGAACACATTTCCTTTCACCAAATAATCGTCCTCAGGATTGGACCCCGAGTTATAGAGTGCGGCAACATGTTGACGAAGGACCCTGAGCCATTCTGGGCTGGAAAAGCGATGAACAATGGTCATGGAGCACAAGTCAATCAGAGCGGGGGAAATGGTCGGCTCTTGCGTCGAGATGAATACTCGTGTGCCAAGATGACGCTGAAGTCGAATGGTTGATAGCAAATTGTTTGTCAATGGGTCCCCTGTGCTTGCCGACATGTACTATTGAGAAGCACAAACCTATCAGTCTCATCATGAAAGCAAATGGTTTTCTCGGATATTCAAACCTTATGTGCTTCATCCAGAGCAACAACTTTCCCTATCTTGGATTTCTCTTCAAGGAATAATGAGAGACAAATGTTGAAGAGCGAAGACGCTGCCTCGGCAGTTACACAAGGACATGAAAGATCAACGATGGTAAGTTCTCCTGCCTTCGAAATATCAGCTATGCAACCAATATATCTCACGGTAGGGAGGTTTCAAGACCTTGATTCTCCAATCAGTTCCACTCCCTCTCTTAACAGGAAAAGGAGAACCAGATCCCCTCTGTGCAAGTGGCATGAAGCTTTCTAACGTATCCAATCTTTGTGACAGCGGTCCTTCTTGACTAGTTGTCAATTTAAGAGCCTCGATATGTTTTTTGAATTCCCCGTAATGAAAAGGTCGTCCACTAATTTGATGTGCCATGCGGAGAACTCGTAACACGCGGCCAATACTATGAAGATAAAGTGGCAATTCTTCTTTTGGATTGACTGCCATCAGATCAAACATGCGTTGTGTCGTGAGGTCAGTTTGATCGATGCACAATTGTGAGATTTTGACATTCATACCACCATATGTGCGCTAAATGAATTTTGTGCGTCAGTAATATCGTGGTCATTAGGATGGAATAGATGTATGTAGCAAATTCAGGCCATGAAGATTTATAACAGTTTCTCGTACATTGTTCAGGCGATGTAAAGTGTACAAAGTTTTCTCGTACGCCGAATAGAGAGGGGGGGGGGGGTAAGATCAGATCCAGTATCAAACGGCGAGGTCTTGTACTTACTTGTATGGTTTTGAAATTTGTCGGCGAACATAAAACTCGAACTTTTATATCCGGGTTGCTTGCCAAGTAAGCAGCCTCGCAAGGGGTACCCTTTCTGCAATATCAAAGAGTCAGTATTTGCTTGCCCGAAAGGCCTGAGAGATAATGAGGATCCAAAGCTGTACCAGAGCGAGGGGTTCACATAGAGAACATTGGAAAGTACGACATGAAAGAATAGATCAAGCTTACATATCGCCAATGAACCCATCGTAATGGAACAGTAAAGCGGACAAGGGATTTTTCACCTTGCTAACAACAGACTTTGCAAGACAGTTCTCCAGAAAGCATGATAAGGTATGAGACTTTCCGGAACCTTGAGAGCCACATATGAAAGAACTGAACGGCGCCGCTATGTTGTAGAAAAGACGAGGGTCTTGCTTTCCGTTTTCGTTGGCAAGAATGCTTGACTGTCCAGCTATCAATCCATACTGACCGATTTCGTTGCAGAGGGGAGTGGTGAATATAGGCGTGGTAGCTTGTTGATTGCCATTTTCACTGCCAGTATCACTGTTGAGAAGGTTTAGGTGAAGAGCGTATTCTGCGTTTTGCATCTGGACGTTATTTGTGTTGATGTTATTCATTTTCTCAAATTTCCTCGATGAAGGTAGATCAAGAGTGGATGGATATAGGCAAGATGAATGTGTAAATACGGGTAAGCATTTGCTTGATATATCGGCCTTGAACAATAAATAAAGGAATGACAAGAATCGACCCAGGAGATTCTAGTCGTATTATGAGGTGCCGATCGCTGGGAGTTCGGGTTTGAAGAAGCTAGAATCTTCTTTATGAAAACGCATGGAGAGAAATGGTTCCGAAGAGATATCGCGGATGATGTGTTTGGGCGAAGAAAGAAGAAAGTCGTTCCCGTAATTGGATATTGTCATTTAACTTCGAAGGAAGAACGTATTCGAATACTTGGATCTGAACACACACTTCCCAATAGAAACACTCATTCCTTGACGGGAAAGTGGGTTGGGGCATCTACAAAAACAAATAATATAGGAAACCTGTATCATATTTACAATAAAGAACATCCAAGATATGAAGTTTGTCTGTTCATCAGGATTGTGAATCTGCAACTCTGCGAGCTGCCGCCGCGCTGGTATTCCAACCAAGAAATGATATGTCTGTTCCCATAGAAACAAACGCAATCAAAGAAAAGGAAGAATAAGGCTCATCATTAAGAGAGTGCAATGCACAACTAGAAACTTCTAGCAAACTTGCAGCATATATTAAAGATTGCGTATTGGCATGGCTTTATAACCTGGGACGTCATTAAATTGATTGAGTAAGTGCATCAGCAACGAACCCAGTGGGTAGTCTGAGTTCACTCCTGTCTGGATATTTATTGCAAGGTATATGGCGCCAACGAACTCATTGCGCGTTCGAGGATTCGCATCCAAGCATTATTTGTTCTTCAAATTTTGCGTTCCAATGATCCTCATACTCTTAATACAAAGATAAATGCATAAGATATCATAACGGAAGGAAGGGAAGAAAGGAAAGGAAAGGAAAAGAAGAAAGATAAAAAGTTCCCGCTTCACAATGCGATCCAAGAGCCGTGCGTGCGTGTAGCTTTGACAGCTGAGCCACACATGTACTTGAGGACCGGTACAAGTTAGTTTCATCCATATGCTTACCGGGGTGCCATCGGGGTGCGAGCTATGTTAAATGATGATAGTGGTGGTGATGATGAACAACACAACTGTAGGGATACTTATTTCTATAAGGTGAGGATGATGATGTTAATCGTTGATAATTTTTAATAATATATTTTGGTGTGTTTGGGATGGTACTCGAGTTATTGCCAATTGTGGTGTTTTATTCCATTGGCGAAAGGGGAATGGATTAACTGTATTGTGATATCTACCCATAGCAAATACAACATCGATATCATCTTCCTACCTCATAAGAAATTGCCTGAGTGATGAATTGATGTTTAATCCATCTGTACCCTGGAACATTACGAGCATAGCAATTCGTTTCGTGGAATAGATAGTGTCCAATGCTTAAAGTATGATATAGAGTGACTGGATGCCCTGACTCCTACTGGAGGTAGCCATGTCTCCCAATTCCTTCCCCTCCAATTCCTCAATTTTAAGCCGCGCTGTGATATAGATAGATGATGTAGGCATGTGGCGCATGATTTTCCATATAGTATGTGGTTAATCATACATTGAGGGAATTGACAAAAACTGTTCTATACAGGAGGAAATGAAAGGTAGAGGTAACCCCATCGTCATAATGTTTGGATGCGGCGTGAATCTCTTCAGCAGATTGTTGGTGGGTGTGGAGGAATCCTTCATTCTCGGTAATATGGCAAATAAAAAGTTGTTGCAAGGATAATATTTGAGTAGTGTATATCACTTGACTTCAAACCCAAATTACGATACTGTATATACAGTACATACAGTACATATCAATTGCGTTTGAATATCTGAACATACAAACCGCGAACACTGTTCCACAATGCATCAAGGAAAAATTTTCCGTAAAAAATGCCTCAAAATTCGAGCCAACGGACAAACGAGCAAGGAATATAGGGAAATAATGGCGCTGCCAATTCTTAGGTACTGCTTTCGTGCGACTCCCCGCAAATGAGCAGCACTTCATCTGACGGCTCGCCTGACGAATAGGTACAACGGATGCGTACAGATGGAATTGAAGTAAGGTTGTGGGTGAGTAGGTGAGATGTTTTACCGACTGAGCCAGCATAGCATAGCATCAGCATTGTTAGGAATATTGGATTCCTTAAAGAATTGAACCTGTGTCCGAAAATGTGTATCTGGATTCTGGACACAACACGAGGGGATTGGAATGGTTTTTGATAATGAATTATCGACGGCTAAGAATACCGAGGTGCCTAATGTAGTATTTTTCCATTAATAGGGGGCTGAGACCTGAATGGCTAAAAGTTAAAAAGTTAGTTACATTGCCACACTTCGACCCCACAACTCCAATTGCAAGGTAGAGACTCGAGACTCGAGAGGAGATACTCAGCTACTCCGCCACTTTAATTGGTGTGTACTTAAAAACCATCTCCTGGTAAAAGTTCTGTGCCTGTTTCTCCTGGATATGCTGTGATGTGATGAACTTCACGAATTATGCATAATACTGCGTCTATAGTCCAACTATCGAGAATACATCTAATACCTATCGGTATCTGTTGACTCATTGAGCATGTTATTTGAAGTTTGAACAAATGGCCGTCGGAGGATCGTTGCGCGCTGTCTGTCGGCTGTTTATCTTAATCCACGTATGGTATGCCGATGTACCTAACCGCGGAGCCTTCCAGAGACGAAGGTCTAATGAATGTGAGTGGTCAATGAGGACGAGGATAAGGATCTAGCTTGTATGCATGGTATGGGTATGGTACCTGAATAACGGCATGGAAATGGGGATACCAATTGAGCCGACCAATAATACGAGGAACAAGCTCATCAGCAGAAATGGGGTTTTGAAAACATGAAACGAAGCTTTTGATGATCAGTTCGGATAATACTGAAATACAGCGAATAACTGGAGGGATGTCACTGTCACAGTCAGAAAATCCTTCGGCGACGCCTAGGGGATACGAAGACAGTACATCCTAATTGATGGTTGGTAATTATCCCTTTCAAGACATGGAGGGGCAAAACCCAAGAAGAAGTAGGCAGAATTTGGCGGTGAAATACTTATTAGATGCACGTTTGTGGCTCAAGTAGTGGAACCACAAAAACCTTCAGCTGATGATTGATATACAATTCAGTGCTCTATTTCTTTCGAATCAATACTCCTTCCATATTAGTACTACACGGAGAATTATCTCTAGAATGTCTCAACGCCTCAAGGAAGGTGGCTATATCCTGGAAGCAAGGAATGTGATCTGCCTTACTGGCCCACCATCAGGGCTTACGATAAAGCTTCGCACTCAGGGGCCCGCATTCCTAATTGGATTAGATCCATGCGCAGGCCAAGTTGCCATGAGTCTTGTACCTGAATTTTGCATTTACATGGGACCGAGAAGAGAAGCAGCATCTGTATAAAAGATAATGATGGCCTCTAAGATGTTTTGATATCACATTGACTTCATTACCTTTCATTCCTTTAAGGTTATTTGCTAGACGCAACACGCTCTCGACGAGTTCTCAATTTCATTCATATTCATATTCACATTCACAGTCAATATGTTTACCCTTCCTTTGATCCTGGTCGCTGGCGGCCTCTCCACTCTCTCTTTCGGAGCTCCTCTTCCCTCAAACACAGAGACAAACTCATTCATTCATTCCGTACAAGACCGTGCTGCATTTTCATACAAGGTATACTCCGGTGATGGAAATATCAATGTAGGATGGCCTACACAAAGTGAATGGATTTCAAGCTTCGACACCATGTATGTCTTCACCAATCAATTGCTCCTCATCCCTCAAGTTACTAATAATATCTAAGGTTCGACAACCAAAACAGTGTCTTGAAAACTTCCTGCACTCAATTCCACGCAGACAACAACTCCGATGACGAGATCTCCGACCTCAAATCCGCCATCTCAGAAGTCGCTACTACCACCGGTATTGACAGCCGATTCATTCTCGCCATCATCATGCAAGAATCGAACGGATGTATCCGCGCTCCCACAACCGTCTACTCCATCTCCAACCCAGGCCTCATGCAATCCCACGAGGGAAGCGGATCATGCAATTCCGGCAGCTCAGTTCAAAACCCATGCCCCAAGAGTGAAATGGTTCAAATGATCACGGATGGAACAGCGGGTACTTCATCTGGCGATGGACTCAAACAATGCATTACCGGAAGTGGTGCTACGGATGTGAGCATGTATTACAAAGCAGCTAGAATCTACAACTCGGGTTCCATTGCCTCGGGTGGAAATCTTGGGGATGGCGTGGCTACTCATTGTTATGCAACGGATGTTGCCAATCGTCTCACGGGATGGTATACCGGGACTAGTTCTTGCGATTCGTCGGTCATTGGTACACTCTTTGGTTCATCTGCATCTCCGGGTTCCAGTGCAATTAGCTCGTTGGTAGCCAGTGCCAGTTCGGTCGTTGCCTCCGTTGTCTCTTCAGCAGTTTCAGTGGCTACTCCTATTTATTCGGTCCCAAGTCTCTCGATCCAACCTTTCATTACATCAGCTCTTGCCCCAGTTGCATCCGCAGCAGGTGGCATATTTGCACAATCCTCCTCTGCCTCCTCTGCCTCGTTAACCTCCTTAATCATCGCAACACCCACCTCCCTAACCTCAGCTATTTCCGTCCCAACAGCCGCCCCCTCAACCACTCTCGACTCCACATCCATCGCCTCCATCATCCCCACCGCCTCCCTCCCCATTACCATAACAACCGCTACCGCATCTCCCACCACAACTACCCTCTCATATCCCTCCATTCCTGCCTCCTCCTCTTCCTCTTCCTCTTCCTCTTCAAACACAACCCATACCCCCGGCACCGCATGCACTTCCCCCGGCCAATGGAATTGCATCGACGGCACATCATTCCAACAATGTTCCTCGGGCACCTGGTCCACAGTAGGTGGATTGGCAGCCGGAACCGAGTGTACGGTGGGAGAGGGAACTACGATTGATATTTTCGCGATCGATGGTGCGAGTAAACATAAGAGACATGCGCATGCGAGAGGATTGATGCATGGTCACTTACATGCGAAGAGGGGTGTGCAGGTTTTGAAATCTTGAGTTGAATTTGTGATTCTTGATTGTGGTTTTGGGGGTAGGAACTGGGGTAGGGATAGGGACAGGGATTGGGGTGCGAATACTCTAGATATATCTTCATGTTCTTCGGGTTTATTTTTTATTTCTTCTTCAGTAGACATTTAGGAATTTGGTTTGGGGTTTGGTTGAGCTTGATGGCACGGAACACGACAAAAGAAAAGAAAGACAAGAGAGAAACCTGGTGTTTCCCTTTTTCTCTATGAAATTATGAAATGGATTTGGAAGGGAAAGGAGTTCAATACACATATATATTACAATGATTACATATATATTCAAGATCTTTGGATCGAAATTAACAATTGTTCATTTGTTTATGATTTAATGTTCGAGTTTGTGTTTGATTTTGATTTTGATTTTGGGCTAACTAGTTAGATATCTTTTTATTTCTTGTACTCGAGTAGAAATTTAAATATTAGACTGGATGGTTTTAGACTGGATGGTTTTAGAGAGGAGGGAGGGGCAGGGAAGGGAAGGGAAGCGTGAAATAAAGTAAAGTGATATTTTAGAGGAATGTTTAGGTTCTAGGGACTAGTACTTATAATGAAAAAAATTAAAGGAATAAAAGGGGTAGGTATATGGCATGGTGGTTAGGAACTTAGGAGATTCTTATTAGAGTACGGGGGAGGGTCGGGAGGGGAGGAGGGAGGGAGGGAGGTGAAGTTTTGAGATAATTAAAAAGAGAAATGAAAGTAGAGGAGTAGAGGAGTAGATAGAGTAGATAGAGTGGGTTTAAAGCAAAGTGAGTAGATTTAAACGAAGTACTGACTCCTGAGTAGGAAATTAAGATTTATTAGGTAGGTAGATAGTTAGATAGTTAATAGATATTAGTTGTTATGTTTCGAGATTCCAGGGTCTGAGTATAGATGATGAGTAATGTGATATGTGGTGAAGCGGGGGCGGGGGGTTTGTATTATTTAGTGGTTGGAATTTTGAACTTGGAATTTGAAACTTGATTGGTAAGTTTTATTTCGCTGCGACACCGCTTGAATAATACTCGAGTAATAAAATTGGTTTTGTAATTACTAGGTAGGTATATATTCTGGGATTGTTAGATGGATATACTGGAAGTAGAATAATACTAGTAGGATTTATATATACGAGTAGTTAAGTATATTATTACTATCACGGGGCTGGTACTGGTACTACTAGGAGCTAAGTAAGATGTATGATATTCGACAAGGAGGAGAGAAGGAAGGCGCGCGGAGCGACGCCGACTATATGGTGGGTTGATGCCTAAGGCATCCATACGAGCTAACTAAGAATGGGTAGTTGATACGTGACAGGTGTAGGTAGGTGCAGGTAGGTGCAAGGTAGGTGCAAGGTAGGTATAGGTAGGTGTAGGTGGGTACAGGTAGTCACGGGTAGTGAACCCGTGACAATTGTGATGGAACAGACGGCTCTCTTCCGTCCACTAGCTCATACTCCGTACGTAGTATGATAAGACGGTTCTCTTAGACCTTCCTTTCACAGCTTAGAGCTCTAATTCTCCTTTTACTCCTTTGGGCCTAGCCATTAGGGCTCCCAAACCTGTATATATAGTCCTCATTTTAGCACCCTACATGATAGCTCTTCACTTGTAGATTCTAAGTACACAATCGGAGTCCTGTTTATACCCTTTTGGTCACATTATCTACAAGTCAATACTTCACAGCTACAACTAGGGATAATAATTAAATCTCTCCGAATCTCCCTCTCAAAACTAATGCCAACTGTATTGATACTATCTACTCCGTAGAAGTGAAGAATTCGCAGATTTCCGTCAAATAAACCTTGACAACGCAATGGTTCTTTCAAAAAAGAAAGACCAAAGTGGTATATCTGGTTCTAGCAATAACAAAAATCATTGTGCTGTATTCGGCTATAAGTATGGCGCTACCAGTACTTCTCTTGATTTCCCAAGAGCTCCTGATACCTTTTGCTGTTTCCTTCCTTCTTCTTCTGGCTCACTGCTTGGTAACAATCCCTATACTTCCTTTTCAATGGGAGAAGGATAGGAAAACATTTCGGTAAATCCTGAAAAACAATCAGTAGCTTACCCTTCTTTGTCTAACTCTTCCTTTCTATCCAAATCCCCTATTTCGGATTCCTTTGCATTTGTAGAAAGCCAAGCCGAAAATCGGAATCTAATCTATATCCTATAGGATATGGAATGACAATTAGCAGAAAGAAATATTCTATCTACCCCTACTCATAGTGAAAATGGAATATCTGGTAAACAAGCTTCACTAATCTACTCTTCTCAATCATTTCATTTTCCCTTTGGTTATATTATTCAGATCCCTGACCCTACTACATCTCAGACTTTTCACTTTGATGATATTCTCTCTGAGAATAAGCCTATTCCCTCTATCGAAAACCGAGGACTACAGAGCTCCACTTCTATTTCTGCATATTCTTACTGTACTATCAGTTTTATACCTATAGCAAATACAGGAACGAATACTCATTATAAAAAAGCTTACAAAGCTACCTCTGTTTCTTATTCCTCTTTTCGACAATTCAGAGTCCCTGATCTACTCACAAAGCTTTCAGATAGATTAGCTCCTGATCTCAGAGTACAAGCACGGGACAAGATAGTCACTAGTTTCATACAAGATCCCTCTGCTGTTCAGTCAGCTAAGATCAAGTACAACTCTTTCATTATATTGTTCAAGAAAGGTTTTTCGAGTTCTACTCCAAGTTTCATAACCTTGCCTCTCAGGCAGAGATCCTCAATAACGAATGCTTCTGTAATGATTTATTCGACAAAACAGCATACCGCTTGATAAGTGCCTCTAGCTACGAGTTTGCACATTCCACCACAGTTAGTGAATTTGCTGATGCCTTGGGCACCCTCGATGTCATCCATCAACGATTTACCGCAACCCATGCCCTCCGTCCTCTTCATTCTCTCCAGGGCACTCGCCCTACACAAACACCTTCCACTTCCAATACTGCAACACCTCGTAACAGTATTCCTGGAGTATACAACAGATCTACAATACCCTCCCACAGTATGCCTTATTACACACCCTCCGCCCCACCTGTCCTTACTCCACAATACTTCATAAGTGATCCCCCTTCTATTCCTTCCTCTAGTTTCAGACAGTCTACTCCTCAATACACACCTTGCATCTCTACCGTTGTCAATGAAACTGATGAAAAGATAAACCCCGAGTTGGATATTGAAAAGTTCAACGAAGACTACAAAGTTCACGAAGTTAATCAACTTGATTAACTTGGCTAACACAAGGATTCCCTACTTTGTATAAAAAAGGATACTCTATAAATACTGTCTCTCTTATAAGGCAAATACGGGATATGTCATACCTTGACTTATATACCCTTATAGATGGCCGCCATCTCTTTCTTCCAATCATTCTAGTAAGGGATGGTATCGTAATAGATTCCAGAACCAACGGTTATACTTCAATTGACCAGGACCTGGTAAAGCACCTCAACTACTATACAAAACCAGTTATACGAAAACTACCGACTCCCATATCTATCAAAGGGTATAATGATATTATCGGTTTACACATTTCCTATATTACATATTTCACTTTAATTATCGACAGTGTGATCAAAAGGGTATAAACAGGACTCCGATTGTATACTTAGAATCTACAAGTGAAAAGCTACTGTTACTGTAATAGAGTGCTAAAAGGAGGACTATATATATAGGTATTGGGAGCTATAAGGGCTAGGCCCAGAAGAGTGAAAGAGTCCTAGAGCTGTAGAGCTAGGGCTCTAAGCTGTGAAAGGAAGGTCAAAGAGAGCCGTAGTATCATGCTACGTACGTAGCATGAGCCAGTGGGCGGAAGAGAGCCGTCTGTTCCGTCACACAAATCATCAAATCCAAAATGTAGATAGAGTAGGGATTATAAGATACATTGAAACTACATAATGCTGAATTTCGGTATCCAATATCCGAAAATAAGGATGAAGAGGACCAATAAGCACGAAAAATAATACCAACGAGCATTATGAGATATTCAAGCTATTGTTGACTTAAATGTTAGTGTATTTTCGTGCTGAACCCACCAAGTCTCTGGAGGCCGAAGTTATTTCATAATATAACATGAGAGAAATATAGATTTGGATAGACTAGTACTCGTAGCTGATGTATAAGCAAGCAAAATACAATTTGAGGAATTTATATAAGACTTATGCCAGAGGAGTGGTGTAATAACCTCCAAAACGAATATCTGGACTCCTCGGAATGGAATCAAATCAGGTCACCGGGAGGTTAAGATGTTAAATGATTACTAAGCAAGACGGCCGCATCGGCCGCTTCGGCCTTCATCTATCGCATCAATTAAATCAATCAATCCTCGCAATACCCATAATGCTTCAACCATGCGACGCGTTGTAGTAACAGGCCTTGGAGCTATAACACCTTTAGGTGTAGGAATCCGACCGACATGGAGTCGCCTTATTGCTGGAAACTGTGGCATTGCTTCGCTTCCCTCGAATAGTTTTGAACCTTCACAACTCGAAAGTCTTCCTAGCACAGTAGCTGGTCTTGTACCATCTGGTAATGAAGCAAAAGATTCATGGCGGCCTTCGGATTGGCTAGAGAAAAGCGAAGAATCACGAATGGCTAAATTTACACAATACGCGATAGCGGCTACTGAAATGGCACTCCGGGATGCTGAATGGAAACCACAGAAACAGGAGGATAAAGAGTCTACAGGTGTTTGTCTTGGTAGTGGTATTGGGGGTTTGGACGAGCTTTATACAACAAGCAAGAATTACTCTACAATGGTAATGGGTCTTCATTTTTTTCAATGAGAATATTGATTGAGATATTTTATAGGGCTACAAATCAGTATCGCCTTTCTTTATACCAAAACTCCTCATAAATCTAGCGGCAGGTCATATATCAATGAAATATGGATTTGAGGGACCGAATCATGCAGTTACAACCGCTTGCACAACTGGTGCACATGCAATTGGCGATGCATCTCGATTTATCGCTTTTGGTGATGCAGATGTGATGGCAGCTGGTGGTTCCGAGTCTTGCATACATCCTCTGGCTTTTGCCGGCTTTGCGAAAGCTCGTTCACTTGCTCGGAAATACAACGACGATCCTGAATCATCATCCCGTCCATTTGATCGAGATAGGTGTGGCTTTGTGATTGCAGAAGGTGCTGGGGTCGTTGTTTTGGAGGAATTAGAACATGCTAAAGCTCGCGGAGCTGAAATATATGCCGAGGTTCGTGGATATGGTTGTAGTGGTGATGCGCATCATATTACCGCTCCGAGAGAAGATGGAGCTGGCGCATTTCTAGCTATGAAAAGGGCTCTCAAGAATGCTGGGATTTCACCACGGGAAGTCGATTATATTAATGCTCATGCTACAAGTACTCCTCTAGGTGATGCTGCTGAAAATGCAGCCATCACTAGGTTGATGCTTGGGGATGAAGGGGTCGAGTCCCCGAGACAAGTTGCAGTCAGTAGCACCAAGGGCGCCATTGGACACCTATTAGGTGCTTCTGGTGCCGTGGAAGCTATTTTCTCAATTTTAGCTGTCAAAGAGGTACAGTAATATATTCATATAAGATCTTCTAATTGCTGACTTATTTTTAGAATATACTTCCACCTACACTCAATCTACACAATCCAGACGAAAATATGAATTTTAATTATATCCCTTTTTTTGCACAAGAAAAAGAAGTCAGGGTTTCATTATCTAACAGCTTCGGCTTTGGTGGCACAAATGCCTCACTGGCCTTCTCGAAATACGATTAAAGTTTGGAATACACAACTGCCTTTATATTTTATGCCCTATCTCCCAGTATATATCCAAACTCCTCATCTCTTTTCCTATACCAGCTCCGAAATCATTCCCAATTCCGACAAGTGTGGATCTGTGATGTATCAATCAGATCTATATTTGGGTCTTCACCATATGACTGTAACTGCACAGGCGTCAAATCGCCTATACATTGTATGCTTTGTCGAATTTAGTCAATGCAATAATCTAAGTCGATATAATTAATCGATATATAATAGCATAGCCAACTTCAAGCTAACCGATATGAACAACCTTGAATCGCTCTGGAAAATCGGCATGTATATCGTGGTTGGCATAATATTCAGGAGAGAATGCTTTACGAATAACAGTCTAGTAAAGTATTAACATAAGCTTCTGTAAGGGAACAAGATATCAACCAAGTAATGTAAGGAATATATGACCTCAAGTCTATAACACTGTCAATTCATATCGGTACTAGTATAAAGTTTTATATTCTATAACGTAGTGACCTTTGATTTTCACTGGGCTTTCTAATCGGGATACTTCTTTTCCTGTAACAACAGAATATTGTTCTTAAGAATTACTTCTCATGCCTTATCGATGGCAGGCTCCGGAGCTTCAACATATCGAAAAGTTGTCGAATGAAGCTCTAGGTAATAGTTTCTAAAACTTTCATTGTAAAGGAGAGCACTTGTGAAGATTACCTTTTCCGTTTCAATTTCTGTTATAGCTGGACCTGGAATCTCGTCAATTTTCTTCGATCATCAAGTAGAATCAAATTATTTATTCCATTTGGTATTATAGCTGATGTGGCATACACAGGTCGCTGATTATCGATTATATAATATAATTATAGTTCTGAGAATTATAATAGTTGTTGCGAGAATTATTTTCAATATGTTCTTTGGTCTTTGTACTGATTTTTTATCAAACTCATTCTCAGATCCAGAGGAAAGGACATTGTAGGTCTCTCTCGTTTCTTTCTGGCTACAGGCCATCTATCTCACTAAATATACAAATATCATCTTGTATTATATCGGTATTGTTTAGTTGTCTAAAATAGAGTAAATCTGTTGCAATTACAATTATAGTATTACATAGACTAAATATAATATATAGCACATGTAGGACAAAGATAACAACCCAATATCATACTTGTTTTGTTATACAGTTAGTTATATTAGACCATCCATATTAGGAGATTACGAAGAAAATTAATTGAAAATCCCATGATTTGTTCCAAGGCACTTTCTTGTTTTATATATTCCATGAATTTTTGTAAAGATTATATGAAGTTAGTGGGCTTACCTTTCAAGGGATTTTACAACTAATTGTATACTTAACTGAGACCGAATATCAGAACTCAGCTACGTTATCTTTACTGAAAGCAGAAAAGACTGAACAAAAAGGTAAAGACTTTCTGTGTTTACAGCGGCTTGCCTTTTGTGTATTGATGAAGCGTGTTCAGTAGTAGATCAGGCCTAGAAGTTGTTGAATTGCCGATTCAACATTTTAACTCCGTGATCATCTGTGGGTTGCATCTGTGGGTTGGTAAAGCCGGCTCGATTTTGACTGATATATTCTCAACATCCACCACATTTCCAATCATCAGTTTCTAAGCACAATTCCACCCACATCCTCCAGCATGCGCTCCAACGCGGGTATAGTGTTCATAGCACTTACGATTCTGGAAGTTGTGCAATGTCTTCCTGTTTTGGTGAGATTGTCATTCTCTTTCTCATTTCCTGTTATCTATATTAGAGGTAGATTACTAGTATAGAAATCACTTACACAACCTGAATGTAGTATTCGACCGGAGACAACACGGCAAATACAAATACGCCCATATTCCAGAATCAAGACGGACCACTTCCCGATAGTTCCTCTCTTCTTACAAATGGTCTTGAGGTTACTCTTAATGTGTTGCTTTACTTGAAGTCGACATGTCACCCGTCATTAGGAGGGGCAGAGTTGTGTTCCCAAATACCAAAGATAAAGATACCACGAAGATGAAAGCTTGGGATAATAGTCAAAGGAGCAATCCAAGTCCACCCACGACTCGCAAGGACGAAGAAGATGAAGGTAATCTTACAATAACCGAAAAAAGAGATACGCCAATGCTCATTCGAGGGGTCGTTCTCGGTGCAAGCGACAAAGAAATCGTACCATCTGTCTTGCCCCCCAACACCAGAGAAACAGAGAGAAAATCTGAAGGCGACAGTCAAGCAATAAATCCCAGTTCTCCTGCTACTCTGGACAAAACGAGTCCCCAGAAACGAGATCTCATGAACACCCCTCTAAATATGCCAAGACCTCCGGATGGTTTCCTGAGTGCGTTGCTAGGAGAGCTTTCCAACGTGGTTGGTGATCCTTTAGTTGTAGTTAATTCGCATACGGCATTTGACGATGCGATACAAAAACGAGAAAATTACCGATACGCTCAATGTTTGGCATGGACTTTCTGGGATGGTGGAAACTGTTGTGGATAGCATCCTTGCCGGTATTGTAAAAAAAAGTCTCATTCTCGTTCTTTCACCGATCGGGATCTTCTGGCAACACTTGCCGCACTCTCATCAGAGACAGAAAATGAAGAAAGGAGGGAGGGGAATTGGATACAAGAAACTCCGGCCCCATACTGCTAGATGATGGAACTGAGCTTACGTTTGCAGTTACGTTGCTTCATGATGTTGTTGAAGATCTTCTGTAAATTTGATTTCTGGGGGAAGAGGGGGGAGGATTGAGAAAGAGGATAGATTGATATGTAGGACTTATGGTGGGGATACACAGACTAGATTACTAGAAATAAACTTGGAAGAGGAGAGAGGAGATGAGAGTGTGCTTAGTATTGATATCTTAGTATGGTATTGATTGGCATGGAAGATATGGGCGATGTAGGGCAGCGAGTTGATAGGCAGGGTATGATTTGATGCTCAAGCTTGGGTGAACTTGGAAAACATAATTCGATGTGCAGGCGTGAGTCCGAAGGTGGTAATGCTTGGAATTTTACTCTTTACTTCTAATCCTGCATAATTCGAATTGTGCATCATATATGAGCACCTATAGAATTGTCACTGGGGTTGAAACAAATCATTGAAGATACGTATCAAATTTGTGCACCTTATATTCTACCACAGTACGTCTTAGCAAGCCAAAGAAACATGAGCTGAGAAATCTTTTCTCGATTAGTGTGGGATTATGCATGTAGTCTATCTACCATGCTAAGCTGCGCTAATGATCATGCTTTCTGTGACATCATGACTCAACACTAACAATCTTCCCAAAGAAAACTCAATCACATTCCGGTCCAAGTTGTTCAAACAATTCTATTGTACACGTTTTCATTTTAAAAATCCCATTCTCCATCCTACATTGTACCCAAAAGCTCGTTTCCTACGTCGACCAAATGGGATATGAAGTGACTATTGCATTTCATTCAAAAGAAAGACGTTTGGTATTTTGGGCTTTAAAGCATTTCTGCCGCTTCTCCCAATTTCTCCCGTGGGAGGATCTCTCCTGGGAGAGGTATCCGTGTCTAGATGGCGTAGTATGGCGGGAAATGTTAGTAAATGGCGATAGATGTGAATAAATATGGATAAATGTGAATAAATGGCAATAGATATTGATAGATGTTGATAGATGGCGATAGATGTCGATAAATATCGAGAGATGTGTTGATAAATGTGAAAAAAAGTGAAGAAATGTGAAGAAATGTCGATAGATGTCGATAAATGTGTTGGTAAATAAATGTGTTGATAAAAGTGTATAAATGTCGATAAATGAAGAAGGTAGATAAGAAGAGATGTCTAAAAGATGAAGGAAAGATGTGAATGAGGAATTGAAATGGTAGGAAGGATGGAAGCTTATATCGGTGTTTGGATTTTAGCGTGGTGATCTTTTGAAAAGATTCTTTTCCGGGTTTGGCACATTTCTTCTATCGCTCAGATGGGAATTCGGAGAGCGAATCGGATAAGGTTGGTATCTAGATATATCCAAATCATTAACTGGCTGTAGTATGATCTGTCATGATTTCATACGTCATGTGTCATTGACATCGGATTTTCTCAAAACAGTCTAGTAACTCAGGTCGCTAACCCTATGATGAACTTTCAAACTCAAAATTGGGAATCTAACCATATCTAGCGTTATTACTACGTACTCCGAGTCTATTACCTAACTTATTAGACTGACCTCTCGGTACATGAACATCCGTTGAGATAAAAAAAAAACCTCATTTCTAGCCAATTGTATCCTATCAATTTATTCCTCTACAATCATCGTCTACACTAATTCTTACCTATACACCATTATAATTTACCACTACAATCTGGTTAAGTAATGTAATGCCATCTGTATTAATAAGACTCCTTTCTGGCAAGAGTTTCTAAAGAGATCATCAAATAAAGTCTAGATATATCGCTCTACCACTACTTCAAATCCACCAATCATCACCCTCTTTCATTTCAGACTGTCTTTATAAAGATACCAATCACAATCCTCAGGTGCCCTTCAATTGAATTTGTTGCCCAACTGAATTATTTTTACAAGGCTCATCCCAATAAACTTTCACTACTTGCCGGCTATTCGAAACATTCGGCCGACTACCATAGGTGGGTGGTCGGCCATATGATGATTAGCCGGCAAGTAGTATCTATAGCTGCTTCGATTGGTTTTTTTGTAAACAGAAGCTGTCCGGTAATCCGGTACCAGTATACAAAAACTGCTGAACAGTAATTTGTTCCATTCTAGGCGGGATTCCGGTATAAATCTGTCCGGTATAAATAAGTTCTACAGTACTTGCGAGCCAAGAAAGTTAGACTAATCCAAACTAATCTTAGATTGGTACCTTATGGTTTCAATAATGACATCCCAAGTATGCTCAAATCATGGTTCTTAGATTGTCCTGTTGTTGCACATCTTCAATTCCATTTTACAGATATATCCTCCTATAGTCTCTTCAACTACCAACTAAATACACCGGCCGGTACTTAAAGACTCAATATAATCAGGAACTCCAATTTCATTCCCTGAACAGTTTTCGTTGCATATCTATGATTTCTATTTGTAGGGCTCATCCCAACAAGTGCTTGAGTTTAAATGTTCAAGTGATAGTCCTATTCATAGCTTAGTTCCATTCCAGACTTCCAGTCACTACTCGAGTATTTCGAATTTACCAACCAAAATTCTTGTCAGACTGAGGAGTATCCCAATCATTCAAATAGTTTTGTTACACATCTAAAGCTTTCAATTACACGGCTTATCCTAGTAAATGTTCAAAATAAAGTCTTTTATATTTTCATGAACCAAAATAGCCGAACTAATCCAGACTATCACTAGTTATATGCAATTGCATCTATGACATTACTAATTGAGACAACATCTAATGATTCTAATCATATTATACAGATAGTTTTGTTGCACATCTACCCTTTCCAATTACAAGGCTCACGCTGGTAAATAATGGCAAATAATTTAAGTATAGTCATGATTACATGGGATCTCTCCTTTCTTCACAATCAAAAATAGCCGAAATAATCCAAACCAATACTAGTCATATATCCACAACAACGCTGCGTATACCAAAGAAGTGGAATACAACCCTATTGTATCTACGTATTAGTACCACAGTTCAAGATAACGCGAGGTCAAAATAAGAGATACTTACGAGTCACCAACCGCCGCAACGATATTCTCAGGCTCATACTTCCCTTTAACAAGATTAACATCATGCTTCGTGTCCGTAGCCTGCGCGACAACACCAGCTGCAAGCGCAATCACAGCAACAAGCTTGATGATAACAGAGTGCACTGTCGTGGTTTGTTGTTTTATTTCAAGTGTTTGTGTTTAGTATCGAGAGCAAATAATTAGAACCACGACCTGGACCACAGCAGCACAGGCTAATATAAACGAACTCCCCTCGTACCTACCAAGCACCATGTCCGCGGCTCAGTAATTCACAGTGCAAAAAAACTGGTATCATTAAACTCCACAGATACACAATGCTTCGCCGTGGCACGCATAAATTTAGCTACAATATATGACTAAAATTACCGCCGGTTTTAGCTATTCACTTTGCTGCATATATATGTGCGCTTCACATATCTCAATTTGCTTAGTATAGTAGTACATCAACTATAGTAGTCACGAGAAGTGAATTACCCTATATATTTACAGCCCTCGTGGCACAGGTATGAACACAGTGTGTTAGTAATAATAACCAGGAACGAGTTGAGATCCATGTCGGGGCTAACTCGGCATGAACATCTTCATCTCTTGATGAAGATCCAGAGGATGGTTGCTAGCTGTTTGTTGAATCCCTGCTTCTATCTAGTGCTTGGTCTGTAGTACTAACAAAGGTGCTGAATACCAATCTAGCAATTATACATCTATTATCATTGGAGATGTGATTTACAGGGGTTTCTCGCTAAAGCTTCAGTAGTCTACGGAGGTGCATGCCCTAAGTCATTACTTACCGCCTTGGGTTTGAATCATTTTGCCCCTACAAATTAACCCTAGTAAATGAAAGCGGTGAGACATAAATAGATCTGATTAAGATCTGATTCAACGAGACAATCCTACATACAATACTACCTCATTCTCAATAAACAATGTAAGACCTTGATGTAATGCACCGCCGCATAAGCTCTATTTATATTCAGCCCCTCGACATCCCAACGCCAGCCCTCGATTTCTTTCTTCTTTGCACAACCCCGCAATATATATCATCCCAATACCTTCTAAATCAACACATTCACCTTTAACTGTCGTGAACTTCTAACGAAAGGTGCATACAAATATCCAATCACAATTCTCGGCAATCCAATACTCATCGCAGCCAATACATTCTGCGACGTAAATTACAGGATGACATCGCACAGCAAAGCAGGACAGGAGGAGGAGTCTGAGGTGGAGATCCCAACGGACAGCGAATCCGATAATGATTCAGGCACGGAGATGACTGAGGATGAGGTAAAGAAATGGCAAGCAAACACGTACGAGCGTGGCTCGAGAAAGCCCATGAAGGAGCCCCTCACAGCACCTTTGGATGTACCGATCAGCGACGCAGATGTGGAAAAGATCAAAGTCGGATCCAGATCTCGAAGCATGGACGACAAATGGGACCTGTTAGTCGAAGATCCCGACGAAAACGGCAACTTATCTCTCCACATCATACGCAACTGGTTACAGAATGAGTGCTACATACTTCACATTGTTCCGAATCTAAGCACTGATGATGGCGGGACTACAAAGATCCAAAGCATCACCTGGGAAGGGAATAAGGGGGGGTTGCAGTGCGATGCCGAGCAGGCCAAGAAGGAAGCCGTGATTCTGTGCAGAATGCGTCTGAACTGCGAGTTTCAGGCGCTCCCGCATTACGATATCTCAAATTTAGATAATACCAGAGTTTATAAGAAGCTGGATGCGAAATAGGTTGCTGCCTCACCCTCCCCCCCAAAACGGTGATCCAGCAAGCGTGGAGGAGTTCCATCATATCAGGGTCGTTTTCTATTACCTATAGCTAAGATGGTAGTCAATCTTTCTTGATATACTATAGCTTGTTTTTACTGCCTAATGATATCACAACAATTACAATGAGGGGGTCAGAAGAGCCTCACGTGACCCCCCCGGCCATGCTCTGTGACAATCTACCCTTCTCTGGGATGTTTCCGCGACAAAAGACATTGATCTATGGTGATGAATGAAATTGGTTCTCGAAGATGATTACATGAAAGTACACGTCCTGCAAAGCGATTTAACTCAACCGACCATCAATTAATTTCTTCTTGAAATCACCTTACCGTGACATCAGCAGATCGACGGAATCATACGACGCGCAAAACAAAAGCAAGGACCAACGTTGAGACCTTTTAGATCGAAGGTGTCGGCAAGTTAGATGTGAATTAGAGCAAGGGATACATGGCAAGCAAGGTTGGAACATGGTATATGGGAAAAGCAATTGTTTCTATTGGTAAATGACGTTCAGAGCTATAGTATCTAAAGAAAAAAAGAAAAAGAAATATATTGTTTGAAGGTAGGCACTCTAGAAAGGGCGGCCCAGGCGGTTACACGCCGTAGTTGACAGGACAGCTGATCTAAGCAGTGAATTCTTGCATCGAACGTCCACTCTTCTTTGGTGATGTTGGCGACTTTGGCGGCGCTGGCGACGCTGGCTTCTCAAAATCAACCCTTGTCGTAGTCGCGGTCTTCTTCCCCCTAGTCATCGTATCCCACGAGACAATGTTGGCCCAAGGAATGGCTTTATGAACCGAAAATTCCTTCTCCCCAGGATGCGGGTTTTCTTCTCCCGCCTTCTTGAACTGTTTGTCCAGATCAACAATCTCGAGCTTGTTTGGGCTCTTGGGATCGATGGTGTAAACATAAACGGAACTGGCGGATTTGGCTCCGGATTTAGCCAACGCCTTGGAACTCGTGGTCGATACCCAGGGATCGTCTTTTCCCAGCTTTGCGCGGCCATGGTCAAGGACGGAGCCGGTGCCTGCGGGGTTCCAGCTCACGAGGCCTCCGGCAGCGCGGACCGCCGCTGGCGTGCGATCGTCCATGCGGAAGAGTTTGGCGGCTGTTGCAGAGCTTAACAGCACCAGAAAGGAGAGGAAGAAAGTGAAAGGAGAGCGAGCGAACATTTTGACTTATTTTGCTTTGCGGGTTGCAAACGTTGAAGAATTGAGAGGCTTAGAAGGATGAAACGGCGAGGAGGATTGAAGAGCTTGGAGTTGTAACGACAGATGCTTAAGAAATAAGATGCTTGGAAAGCTGAGAGAAATCTTAAGGTGAGATAGATGGTTTGGTATGAAGATTGTGAATGTTTAAGTCACAGCAGTCACAACAACTTCTTATATACTTCTGCATCTTCACCGAATATCAAGGAATCGACAGTTTCAGAAAGCTACAGGGGCCTAGAGGCATTACAATTACAATGTAGGATTATAACATTGGTGTTCCTTTAGGATCGGTCATTTTCCACCGCCCCCAGAATTCAGCATACAGTCATTATATACCTGATAATCTCGACACTTTCGTAAAAAGCTAGTAGGGCTCTCCACGATCAATACACGTTATTTGGTGCAAATCGAGCCTCCGATTGCTTATTGTCCTAAAAAGTAAGAGACAAGTATCTTTTATTAGCCATATAAAGTTCTAAACGAATGTGTAGAGTGCCAATTCAAATACCAGCGTGACAGTAGGGCTGCCCCCTGCTAGCTTTTTACGAAATAGTCAAGACCACTGAGGGCGATACTTTTAAAGCACATAGGTCATCGAGAAGGACGTTTTGATGCGATTAATTTAAAGCGTTAGTCAAAAATGGCGGCGGAGAGGATCGTAAACATGCACTTTAAATTATGCTTGTTGCAAAAGTCTGACGGGGTAAGGCACAGTACTTGGCGTCACTGGGATTTTTCCTTTATCCGTTATCAATCTTACTTGGAATCCTATAAATAACAACTTAATCTTTTGCTGTCAAAAATGTTGTGAGATGGAGTTCTCTACACGGCCCGATTCGTGTATTCCTGCCGAACTCACTAATCGGATTCGTTCGGCTGATTTGCTCTGCTGGACAGTTGATCTTGATTTCCCCTCCTTAATGCTCCCTTCCTCTTCCTCTTCCTTTTCTCTCCTATCCCGTTCCTAACCTCTGAGACATGAAGGTTTCCTCTTGTGTTTCTAACCTCTGAAATATTGCATTCCTTCCTATTCTTAGAGTTAGGATGAAATAAAAAGGGAGGGTGTTTTTGGGAGAGAAACTATTGATAAAAGTCATATGTTAATTTTGTTAGAAAGTCATGGGTACTACGGGTATCACGGCACTACCCCTCTTCTATATTCACTACTAGCATACATTTTGTTTACTTATACACTCAATAACATAGTTTAGATTCTGTACCTTCATATAACATATATACACTTCTGACAGGTTATAAAGCCTATGTTATCGATATCTCTACGCAACTTGCAATATCGATCAACTTAACTTAAATAAGACCTTTATTTGTCCCCTTTGTTCGCATTTTTTCCCAGCCCGGCTGGTCAATATGGCGCCGTCAAAACCCACTGATACTCCAACTGTAGCCAATACAAAATAGGGTACTATCGTCATCTTCAATAACGACAACTGGAATGAGTTCTATGAATCATGTCTAGGTACATTAGCTGCCGCTGATGCTCTAGCTATTGTTCAAGGAGATGAAGAAGAACCAATTGATCCCCTCGATATATCTCATATCACAGATCTTCGTGCCTACAAGAAGAAACACAGAAACGTCATCTCCATTATCAACTCTGCAGTCAACTCTGTTTATCACTCTTCTCTTGTTCCTTTTCTAGCAACATCTGATATTGTTGGCATGTGGAATAAATTAAAGGAACATAACTATACAGTTCATCCTCAGTATATTACTGAAGTCAGAAAGCAATTTCACTTTGAGGACTTTAACCCAAAAACACAAACCCTATGCCAATTCCTCGAATGCCTCCTTAATTATCAAAGCAAAACCTCCATCAGCGACAGAGCTATCAGTGATCAAGAAGTTTATGCGCAACTTATAAACAAAATCCCCGAAACGGAAAGCTGACAAACCCAGAGAAACTTTATCATCAACTCCAATCAATCACTTCAGGAAGCTATGGTTACACTAACCATTGCGGAGAAACCCTACTCGGCGATTACTAATTATACTGAAGGCAAAGGATATGGTGAAAATCGAGGCGGACATAATCGTAATAGAAAACGTAGCGGATATCGTGGAGGATCTGGTGGAAATGGAGGAGATTCAGGTGGCACTTCTAATAATAGAATTGAAAAGGTTTCCAAAGACCAGTGTAGATTCTGCCTCAAGAAAGGTAATTTTCAGAAGGATTATCGTTCTTTCTTGAAAGCTAAAAAGGCTACTCAAGGCATTAAGGCTGATAAAGAAGACAATAAGGAAGGAATGGCTAGTCTTGCTATAGGAGATCAATACAACGGTACCATCTATACTGGAGTTGCTATGCGTGCCACTGATTCAAAAGACTACACCTGGATTCTTGACTCTGGAGTATCCAATCACTTCACTAGAATACTAAAAAATCTTGACCATTTTCAGTATTGGAAGGAGTTAAGAAGAGTAAGAATCGCTAATAACACCTGTTCTATAAACACTGGATTTGGCAAAACAAAAATAGGTCGATTAATACTTGATGACATCTGGTATGTCAAGGATTTCAGATCTACACAGCTAATCTCTATTACCCAACTAGCAGATGCGGGAAGTAAAGTCATATTCGAAAGGGATTCAGGATCGTGCTGGAGATTTGATCAGCTTCAATTCGCTGTCAAACAGTCAAAGGGTTCCTATATCTACCAGTACGCTACTATATTCGATATAGCACATCTATTTTTCAACGAAGAAGGAGAAGGAAACCTTGATGAAACCAATGCAGAACTAGCACATCGTCGTCTCGGTCACCTTAATTACAATTAAATGGACAAGTTCAAGAAGGTATTGGTTGGCCTGAAATTTGTTAAGATAGTTAAAACGAAAGAATAAAGAGCATGTGAACCATATCTCGCTGGAAGGATGAGAGAAAAATTCAATAATCACACCCTTGTTTGCATATTTATGAAAATCAGATAACTCCATTGCGATTTATCTGGTATACTCGAAATATTGGCAAATGGAAACAAGTATTTCATAATTCTTGTCAATAATACTACTAAAGTCATTTGGATACGCTACGTACCAGACAAAGCAGTTGTAACAATGATCCCAGTTCTTATAAACCTAATTGCTAAAATCAAGAGAGAAACAGGTTCCAAAGTTATTCTTATGTATACCGACAATGGGAAAGGAGAATTTGGTACAGCTTTTCAGGTAGAAATCAGGAAAATAGGAATCCAGTTTGAACCCTCTCCATCAGGGAAGCATTCTATGAACGGTGTAGCAGAAAAAAAGATTCAAGATATCAGTGCTAAATCAAGGAATCTCTTAGCACAAGCTGGAATGCTTGAAAACCAATAGGAAATTACTACCAAACACGCTACATACTTCATCAACAGAGTACCAACTAAAGCACTACCCTTCGGAGAAGCTGGACAGCTAGCCCTTGCTACTACTCCTTTTGAAGCATACTACAGCAAACAACCGGATTTAATCAAATTGAAGGTTTTCAGCTGCAAGGCTATTCCATTAAACCCTCAACAGCCAGGAAAATTTATGAAGAAGTTTGAATCACGTATATTTTCAGGAAATTATGTGTTTGTTGGCATAGATGGCAATTACATTTACAATCTTCTTAACTTCAATTCCAGAAGAATCATTAAGATAGCAGACGCTAATTTCAATGAATACAGATTCCTTTTCAAAAAAGAATCAGAATTGAAGAATGCTTTACCAAAAGTTTCGAATACAACCCTTGTCACAAACAAAAGAGACCCTCCTTGTTCAGTCGGGAGATCCAGGAAAGTAAGGATACAGGGTTCCATATCTGCCAATCTGTCAGCGCGGGATGCACTACAGGAAAATTTATCAGAACGGGATATTCTACAAAACTCAGTAAAACGGGAAGTTTTATAAGACTCGGGAGAATGGGATGTTTCACAAAAGTTAAATGTAGATACAGTCAGAAGTTCACTGAATACCAGTTGCAAGTGCTGATTGAGGAAGATCTTCAGTGACGAAGTTGTACAACAAGTAAATGCTTTGAAAGTTGTCACTCAAGATACTGAAGGTTCTAATCAAAAAAGTGATCCAATGGTGCTTTTTGAGGCAGTTGAACTAGAAAACGCTATGCGAGAGGATGCTCAAGCATGGATGGAAGCAATAAATTCAGAATTAACTAATCTTAGAATCAATGACACTTTCGAAATCATACAGGGTGAGGTTCCAAGAGGTATAAAACTACTTAGTTCGAGGTGGATCCTACAGAACAAACTTGATCATCTTGGGCGCTTGATTAGACGAAAAGCAAGGTTGGTTATCAAAGGATATATACAATACTCTGGTATAAACTTTGAAGAGATCTTTGCAAGAATTAGTAGAAATTCCATATTATATACTTTCCTTGCGAAAGCTGCGGCCGAAGACCTTGAAATCAACAATATGAATATCGACACTGCTTTTCTGAATGAAGAGCTCATTGATGCAGAAATACTAATAGAAATCTCACAATACTTCAAAAAGGCTTTCCTGGAGATTAAGGAGATGCTTATGAAAGACCCTCAGAAAGCCAGAGTTTATTTGAAACTCAAGAAATCATTCTATGGGTTAAAATAAGCTCCACGCGTTTGGTAGCTAGCTGTGAAGAAGTTTTTTAAAGAATTGGGATTAGTCGCGTTTTCGGCAGATCCAAATCTCTTTATTGGACAAGGAGTTTATATTCTTTTATATATAGATGATCTATTAATCGTTGGCAACCGAGATAATGTTAATAAGATGAAAAAGTTGGTTGGAGAACGATGGAAATGCAAGGATTTGAAAACCACAGATCTTTTTCTAGGTATCCAGATAAAGCGGAATCGCCCAAAACGTTTATTAAAGATTCATCAAACCAATTATATCAAGAAGATACTCGGATATTTCAAAATTTATAATTCTAAGAAACAGAATCTGCCCTTACCAGCTAGAATATCTATAAAGAATGTAGAGGATTCTGAACTCTTAGGAAAGGATAACAAAAATCTCTACCTGCAGATTGTAAGATCAACAATATACCTAGCAAACTATACTCGTCCTGACATTTCCTATACTATAGATCAACTAATACGAGTTATACATGCTCCTAGAGAAAAGCATCTAATTCTAGTAAAGCATCTTTTACAATACCTTATAAACAGTCCCAATATTGGTATAATCTACTCTAATAGATCAAAGGAGTAACCTTATGAATATAATGCATTTACAGATTCGACATGGAGTTCAATAAATAATAAAAAGTTAGTTCAGGGAGTAGTTATCATGAGATATGGAGGAGCTATAGTTTGGTCTTCTACAAAATAGAAGTCTACATTGCTGTGTACAATAGAGGCAGAGATTATTGTAGTTAATGAAGGTGCAAAAGAACTTGCATAGATAGAGAAACTTGTCACTGATCTGAAGGAATGACCAGAAGTTGAGCTATTCATTTCTATTTTTTACTGTGATAATGAGAATGGGGTGGGTTGGATAAACGAAAACAAGTTTCATAGCAAAGCAAAGTATATTCAAATCAGATGGCATTATATTCGTGAAGATATAGTTGATACAAAGCGAATGTATATGATGTGGATCTCAGGAATGGAATAAACAATAGATATATTCACAAAACAACTTACCTACCCGGTATTTTGCATCCACAGTTTGGGGTTAGGTTTGGATTTTGAAGAGAAGTAAGAGTACTCTTGTACTACAACATAATAAACTTAATCATGGGATAGTCGAACTTCACAAGAGATTAGATATCACGATAATAGCAGGGCTATGGATCATTGCAGGAGTTAATGAGGCTCTGACAATTAGATTGAAAGTTGTGGTCCTTGGTCAATTTGGTCAATTTGGTTAATTTGGTTAACTTCATATGAAGAGATTATTTTGTAGCATATATTTCAGGATAATCAAGGTTTTGATTATAGGGGGGATGTTAGAAAGTCATAGGTACTATGGGTATCACGGCACTATCCCTCTTTTATATTCACTATTAGTGTATATCTTGTTTATTTATATACTTAATAACATAGCTTAGATTCTGTACCTGAATATAATATATATACACTTCTGACAAACTTACAGATCGGCCACTGTAATTCCTTGTCCCATAACTATTTCGATCAGACACCAGCATACCACGGCGCAGTAAATATACCTTTCCTTCTCACAAAGACAAGCAAGCACCTATCTTTGAGTTTCCAAAGACATCCAGCCTAATTATCATTCATCTACTCGAACATATCAACAGTCCAAACCCTCAACCCAACCCAACCACACCCTCTCAAACAAGGCAAATAAGGCAAACGAATAACCCCACGATTTCCATACCCACCCTCCCACAGAACCTCATCCAAAACTTCAAACCATCGCACACTGACACACAAACCATACCTTGTATAATAACATAATAACATCCATCCATCCATGCACTTCTTTCCTTTCCCTTTTCTTTCCCTTGCCGGTGGATCTTCAAGACTTCGAGTTATAATCTTACCTACCGGCCGAGTGCGTGCGTAACCTTAACATATTAATAACTGAATAAGTGCTGTACTCTGCACCCATTTATTAATCTCTATCAAACTAATATTATACTGGTATTTTTTCCAAATTCTAATACACATCACATCCTATCTCCCATGCCATTCCAAACTACAATATTCGCTCCATTCATCTATCTCCTTGATTCTCTATTCTCTATTCTGTATTCCTCATCTTCTCTCGTCTTTCCCTCCTATTCACTCACTATTCATCACTCTATCCATCTCACCATCCACCTCACCATCCCTCCATCTCTCACTCACTCACTCACCATGCATCTCTCCATCTCTGCCTCTCACCATCCAACCTACCACACCTCCACACCTCCGCATCTTCCCCCAACACCCCCAGCACCCCCTTATCCATATACACCCCCGTATCCAATCCATACACACAACCCAACCCACACACAAACTCCTACAACCATACCTCCTAATACCAATCTACTCAATATCTTCACCCCCAATATCTCCACCCCACCCTCTCACCCCACCCCGCCTCTAGTACCAACCACTCTTCAAATTTCTATCCCTACCCACATCCAGACAACAAAACACATTTATCCGCAAGGCTTTTTTTTTCTTGTCCTAAAAATCCCAAATCAACTCAAATTCCTAGCTTCAACTTCTTCAACTCTAACCTTCAGCATCACTCCAATTCATTCACAATTCGTAATTCCCTATTTTCATTCCTATTCCCATCCATCTCAACCACAACCAAGTTTTGACCCACCAGCTCCAGAATCTAGCCCTTAAAATCCATTTACATTTCCATTTCCATTTTTTCCTTTTATTTTTATTCCTACATTCCTCCATCCCATCCCATCCCATCCATCCCAATCTATCCCCTCCCTACCCCTCCCTACCCCTCTTACCCTATCTATATCTAAACTTCTGTTTCCTCTCCCTTTCCCTTCTCTTTCCCTTCTCTTTCCCTTCTCTTTCCCTTTCGATTTCATAATCTTCACATACATATATCTCCACTCAAATACTCGTATATCTCAAACCCCATTTTCCACTCCCCCTCCAAATCCCCAAAATTAATATTATTTATAGTTTTTAGGTCTCCCCCTTCCGTCCCCTCCCCTTTCCCTTCTCTTTTCCCTTCAATTTCCTCTTCCCCATCTCTCTCCCCTTTCCCTCTTTTCCTTTCCCTTCATCCCCCTTCCCCCTTCCCTCCCTCCCCTCCTCCTCTTTTCCCTTCAGTTTCCTCCCCTCCCCCTCTCTTCCCTTCCCTCTCCCCCCATATGTTTCCCTCCCTTCCCTTTCCCTCCCCTTTCAACAACCCAACACAATCCACCTCAACTTCCTAAACTTTCTAAACTTCCCATAATTACCTGGAAGAAAAATCTCACAATCAATACCAAGACCGAGACTGAGTTAGTTGTGTTACTAAGTATGTAATCTTATCAGAATTAACCAAGCTTCTCCTCACCTATGTATGGGGTGTGATATACTGAGTATGTGTGTGATAGGTGATATATGCCATGCCATCTTTTATGATATTGTGATATTGTGAGTATTTGTCCGAGGATTTTCACCGCGCTCACATCACTCATATCACTCAATTCCCTACTACTTGCTGACTTCTGATTTGATCTAGAAAGCATACCGGAGAACGTCCTTTTACATGCCATTGCAAACGCAAATTCTCTCGGTTGGACAATTTACGGCAGCATGCAAGTACGGTTCACACCACACCACACCACACCACACCACATAACAAAACATACAGTGTCATAAATATATAATCTGACATTCATTTTCATTTTCAATCCTATTCTCATTTTTATTCTCCCTCTCCCCCTCTCCCCCTTCCCCTCTCTCTCCTCTCTCTCCTCTCTCTCCTCTCTCTCCTCTCTCTCCTCTCTCCTCTCTCTCCTCTCCTCTCCCCCCCTCCCCCCATCTCCCCCACACACTCATAATCTCTATTTATTTTCCCTTCTTCACTTCATACGTATACGTGAATTTCATCTCCTCATCACAACATCAAATCACGAACTCATTAACTTTCGCCAACTCTCGTCACTCACTCACCACCAATCTGACTCTCAACATTTTCCCCAAGCAACCACAGCCACAGCCACAGCCATCCCTACATCCTCCACCCCCCCATCCATCCAACCAACTTTACACTCCTCGCAAATAAAAACCCAATCCATAAAGCAAAACCCCAAACCAAAACCAAAAGAAAGTTAAAACAAACTGAATCCGAAAACTCAAAAGAAATGCTTGATTCCTCAACGCAAAATAGTACTCAAACCGAACTCTTACAAAAAGAAGAAGAAAAAAATGCAAGTAAGCAGAATAAAATCCAATAATTACGCTCCCACTTTCATCCATGAACCCCTCGCTTCCCTACCAACTTGACCTATAAAACAAAAATAGTGTTGTGTCTGTCAATAATATTGACAAAGCTTTTATCTACTTCTACCCGAATCCCTGCGAGAAGATACAGTATCTTGGTGAAATAGAACGAAGGCCACCGGGGCAGAAAGTAATACAAGGAAAGGAAAGACCGTTTTTAGGCGTTAGAAAATCGACTTAGACGGATCAAATAAATGTTGAGAAGAGGGATCAAAAGATGGTGCTCTTGACTCTCGAATGTGATCGACCTTTGCCCGAAGTCCCGGAAGCTTTCCTCATCATATGTTCTTCCCGCTTTAGAACCATCTCGCACCAACCACCTTTACCACCTGCGCGTTCTTTTCCTACACAAGGATCAAGAACAGACATCCATGCTTCTTTGTCAGCTGGTGAGTCTGCGTAGAAATCAATGACTTCACCATTGTTGAATCGAATTCGGAATCCTTCTTCAACAAACATGTAACCTTCTTCATCTTCAGCAAACCCGGACTTGCGACGCTTCCCTGCTTTAGCCGTGGTTTCCTTCTGTGTGAGTGCTCTACGATCATCAATTAATCTGTTGGCATTGGCGAGATTAATTGTGACACGAGGTTGTCGAGTCGATTCGTGGTAAGCTGTAAGTTTACTTCCTGCCAGTCTGAAAAAACGACGACGCCAGAACTAGAAGATTGTTAGTAAAAATTAGAGTACATGTGTATCAAGAAAACTTACAGGACAGTCACCACCTTGTTGACTCAGGTGACCCTCAAATTGTCTAGCTACCTCAAGTTCGGCTTCCTTCATCTCGCGGATGCAAGCATTCATACTCTTAGGCATATCTTCATCACTAGCTCCTTTTGGCTTGGGGACGAAAAGAAGTTGTAGTTGTAACTTTCCGACAGTATAAGGAGCGCGCTTTCGGATTGGGGGAGGAACGCTACGTTTGCTCATGACACTTGATGAATGGTTGGTCTCCTCAGTTGCCCATTCGTTAAAAGCAGCCACGTCGACGTTATAAGGTCGTCCGAAGCAACGAGTTTCATGATCCTTTAGACAGACGTAAGAACGGCCAAAGCTACCATCTGCAGCAGCGAGCGGTGAAAGAAGATCCCATGCAGTTGGTTGTGATGAGTTCTTCATGGCTTGGGCATCTTGTTGTTTTTGTTGTGCGATTCGTTGCTCCTCTTCCTTTTGTCTCATCTCAAGCTCCTTTCTCTTTTTTGGCGAGGCGAACACTCGGCTGAATGTAGAAGGCTTCGATGGCTTGGTTGCTTTTACTGGAGAGGTCTGTACACGCTTAGGCGGTGCTGGCTTCTCAAGCTTGGCGTTTAACGTCAGTTGAAACTCAAGCTCATTCGGTACAACAAGCTCAAATTCTTGACCAATAGGTGCGTTTCTTCCTAATTCCAACCATGCTGTAGTAACACAGTGTACACCGTTATCTAAGGTTAAGCTAAACCATGATCGTTCATCTATTCTGATGTCAGCGAAATAAAAAGTAACATGTGCGTGAAAACATACTCTTAGGTAGGGGTAAATCTAAGTCCTTTACTCCAATAACCTTTACAAACAATCTTCCCCGTTCACTACCTTCATCCGAGACAGGTTCTGCAACTCGACCTTCTGTTAATATGCCTAAGCCGGTGGCGGCATTACTTTCATGGCCAGGCATTGGGGGGACTGGACCAGTCGGAGGCTTCTTGCGGGGACTGACAGGTCGAGCGCTGCTCTTACGAGAACCGTTCCATGGCTCAACAACCCATGACTGTGGTCGATTATCTATCTTTGTAGGTGAGTTCCCGGCCGACTTGGGACCTCGATGCTCTCTTTCATCGCTGCTTGCAACGACTACCTTGGTGTTTTGTCTCATCAAATATCCTCGCTGTCGTGGACTTTTGTTAGCATGATCACTCAATTGTGCAAGATCTTCCATTTCGGACGCTTGTCCAGGTTCACCAGTAAAGAAAGTCGGATGTGTAGAAGATAAATCAAATGCTACCTTTGAAGACTCAATGACTCGGTCGAAATCCGACTCTAAGTTAAGTCCAAGATCACCGCCGATATCGAGTGTAAGACTCCGCTTCTTGAAGCTGGGAAGTCGTTGTAACGTTCCTTCCTCCGTATCATCGTCCTCAGGGTCTTGCTCTCCGTCTAATGAGGGACGATTGTGGTGTCGTACAGGGATTGGAGGAATAACGGGACCAGCACCGCTGACTTGACGTCGAACTTCGCGCATGGCTGCAACGTCGGAAGGTGTTACAGATGGCCTTGTCTTGAGTTTTGAACCACTACGAGCCTTGATAGTAGCCATTGTTTCGGGAATACCAGGAGAGTCGGAGGGTGGTGGTGGTGTAGGAGATATTTTGGGAGGGTCAACGAATGGGTGATGAAATGGTTGATCAATTGATGACTTAAATGGCTGATCAATTGACGATCTAAATGGTTGATCAATTGATGCTCTGAATGGATGATCAATTGGGACGTTAACAGGATGTCGGATTACAGAGTCCGAATCAGAGATTTCGTCATCGTCATCGTCATCTTCATCTTCATCTTCATCTTCATCTTCCTGTGGGCCCCATTCAGATCCATCATATTCTGGACGTGAAATCATCTTCTTGAGTGGTGGCGACGCAGTACTTTCCTCTTGAGGTTCGGTGACTGTCTCCCGGGGCTCTGGGGTATCTTCATCGGTTTCATCCTCGGTTTCATCCTCGGTATCTTCCTCGGTATCTTCTTCACTATCTTCGAGCTCATAAATCGGAGTCTGGTGTGCCACCTGCTCGTCCGCCTCTGGTGTTTCGGATCCCTGAAGATACTCATGTGCCTCTGACATCTTAGACACCTTTATCTCGTCTTTCTCCTCTTGAGGTGGAGGAGATGGTGTCATGTATGACCTCAGACTGAGACCAAAGTCTGTGGTATCGGTAAGAAGTCCTGAAAACTCGGGTAGAGAGATCCTTCGGTTCTCCTTCGCATCATCCATTGATATGCTGGCAGGACTGATGTTTCGTGGAGTTGGTGGACCATCATCCTCTGGAACGCTATTCGATTGAAATTGTGGGCTTTCATGAAGTGGCATTTCAGATGATATTTCATCCGAATAATGGCTCTCCACATCATCATCCTCCACTGTTCCGATGTCACTCTCATCCTGATGACTCTCCATTCCTGACTCGGTACGTTGATACATATCAGGGATGGAATACATATCAACTTCTTCATCATCGTCGACTTCCGACTTGATCAAAACGCCATTTTCTTCTTCTGCAATTTTATCCATAGTCTCGACAAATGAATCCTCCGTAGATGGAATAGGAGTGTCAGGGTCAAGTTCCGCCAATTGAGCGATGCTGGGACGTTCGGGGCTTGAGCTAGGTAGAGGCGAGTCCAAATTGTAATCTGACTCTCGAGCGAACGGTTCTTGGCCATTGACTTTTCTCAATATCGATTCCCTTGATATGCGAGGTGGTAATTGATAAGAACCCAATCCTGGGAGATCATCTAATGTATCTTCGTCTTCATGATCTTCTTGGTCTTCTTTATCTTCGTGAATCTTGATTGGTTGAGCCTCTCGTTCAGGTGTCTGACTCTTACGTGCTCCTGCCCGACGCATGCGACGTTCGCGCTGCTCGTCTCTCTCAGCAGATTTGGGTCTACCTTCGGAAGACTTTGGCCTGTCATCGTCCTGGATCATCATCAGATGCAACCTCTCCTCCAAAGTCATCTTATTTCCGTTCATTCCCTGCAGATCTGCTTTACTGATAGAGGCTGGAGGGGGTGGAGTAGGAAGATTTCTGGGTGAGTTTGTCGCTCCACGCTCAATTCCAGAAGACGCTGAACCCCTTCGATCAGCACCAGCCATGCCGGGTAGTGGTGGCAGTGGTCGATGTTCGCCATTCGAGGTCATTGAATCATTGCGAGTCGCATTAGGACGTCCGGAGGAAGAGGATGGACGAGTATCGGGCATAGGACTACCCTCTGGACCTTCGAATGGATCATCGTAGTAACCAGAAACTGTGCCATAAGCATTTCCAGGACTAGAATGCCTCCAATCATCCGGTCCGACTACTGGTGTCTTTTCTAAATCCTCAAGAGAAGCATCAAAACTATCATCTTGGTCAAGACCATCGCCATGGTAGTAAAGATCTTCATCATCCTCCTCCTCCTCCTCAGAGTCGTAACTATTCTCACGAGAACCTGTTCCAATAGATGATATATCCGGTGTCGCCAATTCGTACTCGTTGATTTGTGGAGGAGCTACATCAAAAGTAACACTCTTCGCGTGTCTGTGCAAAGCTCGTCCAGGTGGAAGCTCTCGGTCGTCGCCTGAATCTTCGTCGCCAAAGGCATTGTGTTCCGGATCGTAAAGGGCCTTTCCAGTAAATCGACTAGTTGCCATGGATGATTTTGTAGGTGAAATCTGATCTTTGCTGGGCGATCTTGCACCATTGGTTGTTGCCATCTTTAAAGGCTCTCTGGTAGGGCTCATCGGAGGTGGACTTGCCAGCGAGAGACTGCTTTTACTATCTGTCCTCGCGTGGCTATATGGTCGATTTTGTTCTGATGATCTGAGCCCTTCTAAACCCTTTCCTCCATAAGCATTGCCCTGTATATTCTTCGCCAATGGTCTCTCAACAACAGGTATTGACATCGGATCGTATTCGAGTTTTTGCTCCCTTGCGTACATGGTGCTGTTCTTAACCCGCGACGCGCGCTGTAAACGTTCGATGGACGACTTTCTTGTTGGTGATATCGAAGAATCTTTGTATAAATTTTCCGTACTGATGCGATTTGGCGTACCTGGGTCACGATTCTGCCAGAAGAGATGTGGAGAGGAGCCTTCGGCAGAAGTGAACGGGGAGGACTGGAATGGAGACGAATCCGCATTGAGAGCCATCTTCTACGTCAGAATTAGCTTTTTAAAAATCTCCGAAAGATATGCTGAAAATAGCACATTCAATTCTTACCTTTGTGGCCTGATTAAAACTTGGAGAGTTTCGTCTTTGAGCTGTTGGGCCTAATTCTGAGAGAGGTCGCGGTGTAGAATTTTTGACCGGCGATCCAGAAGAACTGGTACCCTTTTGAATCCTCAATGGAGGAACCTATATCATATATATTAGATATCATGTTTACTCTGCTGTCTGTAATAATACTCCTCCCGACGCGCTCTATCATTTGAACTTTTAGTTATCTATTATGCGCTTACCGGTTGTGATGATGAAGACATCTCATAGATTCATCAACTTGAACCAAAAGATCCCCAAATCCGTCCTGTGTGTGGAGAAGAGATAATCACCTTGCAGTAGCCAGATGTAAGATTTTGTGGAATGTGGGATTTGGACAAATGATAATGTTGATAAAATCAAAAGTCTGTAACAATCAGAACGCGAGGAATGCGCGTAGTAACTACCTAGGTACATAAAATGTAAAATGAACGAATGTGGTAAGTAATAGTAAGTTGATTGTTGTATATTATTATTTTATGGATTAAAAAGTCGTTTTTCCAATAATAAAGGAGAAATGGTCGTCGTTGTTGACTCGGGGAGGGAAAGCTTTGGGAGGAAAATAATTTGCAAAATAGCAAAGTAATGAATAACAGAAGAAGGAGAAGGGAGAAGAGTAATTGGATGTTTTATTTTTTAAGGTTGGGGGGGGAAGTTGAAGGGGGTGTATCAACAAAATGTTGTATCACTGAGTAGAAGAATAGAGTAGAATTGAAGTTGAGTTGAGTTGAATAGAATTGCTGACCGGCTGGCTGATGGATTGATTTGACTGGAACTGACTTTGATTGACTGACTGGCCCGCCGTACCGTAATAATAAACAACAAATAATTGTGGTAAAGTGACTTTTTTGGGTGGATTAGACATTGTCGCTCTAGCAACCGTGCTCCCTTATTTTAGCGTGAGATATGAAGTTTCACGGCCCGCACTATAATTCGCTATAAAGAGAAGATAATTGGTTTGATTGGTTAGATGGCAAATCAATTAATATCTAAAACAATCCAAAATTGAGACTTTTCGTCTATTTTGAGTAGCTTTTACTATTCGAGTATAATCTATTTACGAATTACCGATCGAGAAAAGAGATATCATATTTCTATACAAATACAATACGGGTTTGTTCCTTTCATTGTTTGTTTTCTGAAGCAGTACTGTATACCGAATTCACATACCTAGGTGCTCGTACTAGACCGTAACCTAAAGAACCCATCGTCTGAAATATAAAAATATGAGATTTCACGATATCTCACAATTGGTTGCTTATCGTGAATGTAAACAAAAGGGAACGACGCTTTCCTGCACTACCTACATGATGCAAGTATAAATTTCATGCATACGATACTCTCATAGGTTTATTCTCGCCATCGTATATCTCACCTACATACATATATATGCCAGTACTTGCATCAACTACTGTACTAGGTAATGTAATATATATCACTACTTCTAGATATCTTTCCCGTCCCTTCCCTTCCCTTTCTTTCCTCCCTCCCTCTCGTATCATCCATCCATACAAACAAACAAACAAACAAACAAACAAACCAAGAAGTTGGAAGCTGGAGAATCCAATACTACCTCTTGGGTACATTAATTGTCCGAAGCTACATGATAATAATACCAGAATAACAAATAATTATCTACCCCTCACCTCGACTCAGCTGATGGATGACACTCACTCTTCACCTAGGAAGGTTGCCGAGATCAATTTCTCCATGGCAACAACAAGTAATACTAATACTGTATGTAATTAACTTTCCATTCATCTTCTACAGTTCGTTGAGCCTCAACTTTTGCGCACACGGTAGTGAGATTCTGAGAACGAGAACTTTTGGTTTGCGCACACCGTTTTGTGAACGAACGGAAATTTCGGTTTTGCGCTCTGGCACTATTCGCTGTTTCAACACACTCAACACACTCAAAATAACCAAAACATCTGCATATAGCTCGATTTACAATGGGGCATCGCATCCTGATATTTTTCTGTATTTAAGTACATATAAAGTATCCGAAAACACCAAGGATAAGCTCGGTCTCCAGATATAATGATCCAGTTCGAGGTGGAGCTGCAGGAAGATTGTTATGTATCCTGCATGTGAGAAAGGCATATGGCGAAACATATCCCAAAACATACCTCAAAACATTTCCAAGACTATTTTACTTTACTTATTGTATGTAGGTATATGGATCATAAGTCTCGATATCGAGGGTAATCAACAAGATCCCACTGGTACCGAAAGAATCGAGCGAGTGGTCAGGACATACAATATTGATTCTTTTTTAACAATCAATTTTTCCATGGTAACTTTGGTTGAGTGTATGAGATACCTAGACCTGTCGAAGAACCAGATAGGCAATATACCGCATCTTCTGCGAGGTTGATGAATATTTTAGGTACAGTATAGCGTGATACCTCTTCATTGCGATTAGATGCAGAGCCGGAGAACCAGAAACCTCTTCCTATCGGACAACATCATAACTACGGTACTGCATTCATTTTTCGGAGACCACACAACACACACGACTTGCTGCTCAAATGTACAAACCCAAACCTCCAAAAATCATATAACAAAAGAACATGAACATCACAGGCCATAACAATAAGCCATATCATATTATACATATCATAATCACAATACCAGTACCTAACCTCAAAAAATACTAGTAAATATGAATCATTTAATCAAAGAAATACTATCACATCTCGGATACTCTGGATAAGCTTAATCCTAATATAGGAGTAGATAAACTTTAATTGTAGATTATATATATTGTTATAGATTTTTATTAACTAAATTTTAAGACTATCTAAGCTTAGTATTCAGAGTACCCGAGTTTTGATAATATAGTAAATTACAATCTACACCCCAAACCACAAATATATCTACAAATAGAAAAAATAGATTTTTTGTGATTTTGACAGTCTCCATACAGAATACATACCGGTACTTAGGTACCTTGGCCCAATCCTTTACCTAGGCTTTTATCCGTTTATCCCTACTAGTTTTCGGTATAGTTTGTCTTAGTATTACTTGGTTTGGTATGGGCTTGAACTAAAATGCAGTTGATACAGTATGATTTGACCTTCATATCACATTGTATCGAAGATAACATCATGGGATTTCTTGGGATTTCTTGGGATTAAATGGAGATAATATAAGAGCTGCTGAACACCAAATTCTCACAAACGAAAAGAACCTTAAGTTTTATCTGAAGGAAGGATCTCTACCAAAACCCACCTCTGCATTTCCTGAGCGTTTAGAGGTAAGAACTAGCTGATTTGGGACTAAATCATTTCCATTCCATGTGAGAGGTTACGTTAAAAAACAGGCATTTGATTCCCCGCACCTTCATCAACACTACCTACCTAGCATTCATCACTTCTTTAATAGACGCGCACAACCCCACTTCTCCTCGACAGATCTTGGTACATCGTGTTGATATCTACGATCTTCGGATACAGAACAAATCTGCCTGGGTTTTCCATGGGTGTGAGATTTTGTGTAACCATCACCATGGACTTTGTGATGGGATCAAGGGGTCATATTCCGGCTCAAAGTTTTCGGATCTGAATACGTATAAAATTCTACAAGGCACTCCCAGTGTCTCCTGTGTCAAAGTTGGCATAGAAACGAAGAAATCTGCCTTCCTCCATCTCTTTCCTTCCGGGAGTTCCTCTAAGTCTTTAATTTTTTCAAACATTCTAATGCTCCTCTGAGGCTGAGGCGCTACGATTGATGGTTTCTGGTTCGTAGAATTCTTAATGAAGGTCTGTAGGCGCCAACAGTCCGAATTGCGGGGCGATTCGAAATACCTACTCTCGGGATGGTGTTGGTGGACCATAACTCAGCCCCGTGTCTTCTCTCTTAAACTTCACAAGTCTGCTCCATATTTTAGCCATGCTCAAGACCTTCTTGCCCTTCATCCTTCGGGCCTAGATCCTATCTGGTACTTCCATCATTAAAAATGTCGATCCGAACGAGTTTTTTCATTATATCGCTATGGGCGATACATGTATTGGGCCTTAAAAGACTTCTAGATAGAAGTAAGTTGATCATCATACAATTCGTCGTTCGTTATTGACATTAAGCAGCGGCTTCCATCTCATATAATAAAACATCAAGTTCCGAAACTGCAACTATAACTTCTAGTGAACTAAGTCTTGAATGCTGCTATCTTTCATCTTTCGAAGTTGGTCAAGTTCTCTGGTATTCCGAAATTATCAACATTACTGTGGCAACAGTCTCTACTATCGTGTACCAATATGATAATACAGTCCTCACAAGTATCCAGACTCTATCTACAAGTTCTACAGTACCATCAAAACCCATAACACGATTATCCATCTATGATCTTCCTACAACGATAATCGGGACTGATTTAGGAGTCTACGAAGCCGAAACAACCTTTATTCATGGCACAGCATTTACCGATCCATACGAAACAGTGTATCACTCTCCAACACCTGTATGGATCTACACCGATATCATATACGCAACTGCATCACCAACTATAAAAAATAGTGCATACGCATGCCCTAGCCCAAGTGACATCAAAAGCGCATCCGGCGACGAGATTTCACCCTATCCATCAGGATTTTTCCTCGCCGATGAGGATTCAAATTATGGCTGGAACTCCCCAGGCGCAATCTCAACCACATTGCCAACCCAGCTGCGCGACTGGATGCTTGATTACGCCGCATCAGATACCGCAAATACCCTAACAATTCTTGACCAATGCAAATTAGGTGTAGGACGAGGTGTCCCCACCGCCTATATTCCCTACTCTAAAATCACCGCTACTATAACTACTACATCAACTATACTTGGAGTGTATGGCCACAGCGATATTCCTAGCTCAACTAGCCAGATCGTTGAGGTCTCATCGTCATCTACAGCTGCAGCATCTTCGAGTACCTCGATCAACACTACATTTTCTCAATCTATTCAAGCAACCACCGTGGTGATTCCCATCGCTTCAATTACCGTTACTAAAACTGTCGATCTTGCAACTTTCTCCGAATCATCTCAGACATCAAGTGTGCAAATAATCACAGCGGTAAACGCGGCGGTTTTGCCTACGGTTACGGCGAATGCGGCGGTGATAACTTCTTTTGTTTCTGGGTCCTCGTTTACTACTTCGCGGTATGTGGTGCTGAGTTCGGAAAGTGGGACGCGAGATGAGATGACGATTGTTGGGGGGATGAAAACGGAGATAAAAACGGAGAGAAAGACGGAGATGGGGGGAAAGGTGATTACGACTGTAGTTAGTGGGGGTAAGGGTGGAGAGGGCAAAATTGTAGTGGTTGTGGATTGGGTTAGTGGGAGTACGGGTACGGGGGAGGGTAGCACGCAGATGCAGGTGCAGATGGTGACGGGGACGAGCACGGGGACGGGGACGGTGCAGGTTTGGGCGGATAGTACGGTGGCTGCTGGTGGGATAGTACAGAGCTCGAAGGTTTCTGGAGGGGGGAGGGGGAGGGGGATGGGGAGGAGCCTACTTGTTGCGTGTATTGTTGGGTGGGTGGGAAGTATGCTTTTGGTTTGGGTGCTTGGGATTGGGTTTGGGGGGTTGTAGATGCGGAGGAGTGGGATAGGATGTATTTAGAGGGGGAGTGGGTTTATTGATAGAAAAGGAGCATGTATAAACATATATTTGTACACGGGTACAGATGTATATTGTATATATTGGGTTGGTTTACTGTATATACACTAATTTCCTTCTTATAGACCTTTTGAGTTTTCTGGAATCGAATGGAGGAGATGATATAAAGAAGCCTAGGCTAGGGTTAGAAAGAACTCAAATGAATCTAGATAGATATTGTATTAGATTGTACAATTGTAAGAGAGTATTCTTGATGTGGATTTCAGATGGGTGCTTTAATATCGAATGTGTAATCTAATAAAATATTTCAAGTATTATGAGTGTCGGTGATTCTACATCAGGAAACCACAGCTTCCTGAACAGGGAATGCCTCGCTTAACCCCGGGCTGCTCTAATGCCGCCCACCACGTAGCCACTAGCCTCTTACCCCTGCACACTTCTGTATAAATCTAGCGCTGCTTCCTACGCTCCTCATCGTTCTGATATTTCTTGAATTGTTCTTCCAACTCTTCATCTTTTTGTCTCCACCCATTGTTCCAGGCATTTGTTAGCATTAGCATATTGCAGCTACACCTCCCCCCGGTTTAATTACCTGTCTCGCGACCCTCAAATTTTCTTCAGAACTTCGGCTGGGCTTTTGATTCGCCTTCAGTTCTAGTGAGTATTTCCTCAATTATCTATCTGCAAACATGCAGTCATGGAATTTTGCTAATCATCCATGTCCAACTGAATTCGGCATCACCGGTATAGCTCGAAACCTAATCACCAACATAGCACTGCTCATTGTCCTTATCATCGTTGCCTGATATCCAATCGACCTTGCCTCATAGATATACCTCCTTGCCTTTGTGTACAAAGCCCCAGTCTTCTGATATACCCGAAACCTTGGTTATAACAACATATAAGATTCTTGTCAAGCTTCCTTCTAGACGTCACCCCCCTAGGAAGATGGCTAGGAATTATATTGCAACAAGGGTAAATAGCATGGATCTCTAGGATTCTTATAATCGCAATAACAGTAGTTCTATGATTGATATAGCATTGCAATCGAATAACAGCTACAGCATATTGGTTCTGCTTATATAGATAGCAGCGTTTTTACTCCAAAGGTTTAGAATTTCGTCCACCTTCATCTCTTGGTTTGCTGTGATTACCATCTAACAGTAGTGTAGTTCCGGAAACTACAGTTTTCTGGATTAAAGACATAGCAGGACAAGGTAGTCTGGTGCAACCAGAGTTGGATTGAATATCCAACAGAAACGCAGAGTCCTTAATCAGCTAATCATCCATGTCCAGCTGAAATCGGCATCGCCGACATTACTCGAAACCTAGTCACCAATGTTGCACTGCTCACCATCTTTATCATTGTTGCCTATTACCCAATCGAATGTGCCTCATAGGCACACTTCCTTGATTTTATCACCGAAGTTCCACTTTTATGCCATACCCAAACTTCTGCCTACACTGATATACGAAGTCTTATCAGGCTTCCTCTTGGCCTTTACACCCAATGCCCTTCTACAATCTTAAAAGACTGACGCGGAAGGTCTAGATTCAAAGAATTGCTTTGGAATAATACCACAATAAGGAGGAATGGCATGAATGGCCAGGATTCCTGTGACCACAGCAGCAGCGGTTCTGTTATTGACGTGGCCAGAAAGTCATGGCACATAGGATTGGCTTACATGAGTGACGGCGTTCGAACTTAATAGGTTTAGAATATCATTAAGATCCCTTTTGATCCATTGCCATCAAAATCTCATGTTGACGGAGTTTTGGAAGCTCCGGTTTCCTGGATGGTGGATGAATAATTCAATTCCATCAGTATCGAATTGAACGTTTAATACAAACGCAAAGTTCTTAATCTATGGTTTTTTTTTATATATAACAAACTTGATCTTATCATGTTTCATATAACGAGCAGTAGAAAATATGGATAGGGTAGTTCCAAGAGAGAAGAGACTTGGATTTCAGGTTGATTTCATTTTCTGGGATTTTTATAATATTAGTTGTTTTTTATAACATTCAAGTCTTATGAATAGATTAGTATCCAATAATCCCATCCATTTTTCTTGTCTTTCCCCAGGATTATGTATTCTTTTCCCATCATCATATTCTTCATCTTTCGAACCATCGATTGGCGCAGTTGCAAATGTGACAGATAAAATGGGAGCTGAGTAGAATATACATAAGAGATTTTGCCCCATCTCGGCAAGGTAGATACAACAAGAGAGAAAACCTTGCAATTAGCGTTCTGCATTATAATACTCGTTTATTTGTGATAAACACCATTTGATAATAATAGGCTGAGATAATAATATGACACCTTTGTATTCGAACAGATAAGGCAACACACATCTTCCACGAATCAGGCTTCTCCTGTAGTAATAAAACTGCAGGAAAACTGTGTATATAAAGGAACAAATGATTACTAAATGGAAGAGAATATAGATTTTAAATTATCTCAGACTTTCTTTTTCTACTAATCAATCTGTTACAAAAATGAGTCTCTTAAGAATCGTTCCTTACACTTATATACCAACAAAAAAACGGTCCAAGCAAAACCTATATTATAAAAAATTAGTAAACCCTGATATTCGAGTTTATAGGCCTATTAATCAAAATGACTTGCAGATCGAGACTAAAGCTTATTACCAAGAAGGTATTGATATATATACTTCGATTAATGTATTAGTAGTAATTAAAGATAAAACAGAGAATAGTGCCTTCGGAATATGTATTTCAAGGCCAAGGGATCGAAATGCTTTACAAATACAGATAATATCTATGCAGCCTAAAGAAAAAGGTACATTAAAGCTATGAAATTGAAGTAATGGGATTTTTACTGATATTTGAAATAGAGAATGATAATTATGATCTAGATCCTCTTGTGAATAACCCCAAACCTATTTCTACCAGGTTGAATCGTTTTGTTGAGACGTTGATCATATCTCGCTTGGCTGAAGCTAACAATATTGATGGAGAGGCGAAAGCGTTTCCTCAGCCAACAATCTTTACAATCGATTTTGCAATGGAGAAAGACTTGTCATCAATACCATTATCTGCTAAAATTGATACCTCTATCATTAGAAGATTTAATATATTGAAACATAAAGCAGAGACAACAGGCCAAGGTCCATATTATCTCTTCAATATTGTTTATTTGATTAATAAATAACAGAACTTCTATTTCTCTTACCTAACGACAACACAAAGGGAAAATCTGACAAGAGTAACTTAGAGATTGTATTCAGAGAATATCTATACAAAAAGCCAAAATCCAGATCTTCTATATGTAGCCTAGGTATTTATAAATGTACAATATATTCTGGAAGCTTGGAAGTAACGTTTGTCTAGAATCGTCTGTTAATTTAAATATTGCTGATGCAAATTTGGCCAAGCCTCTTACACATCACACTACTAATCACAAGTCCCCTCTCTCTGATGTTACACATGATGATGAGTACCGCTTAACTCCAGTTATTAACGATGGAGCCTTCGAAAGCGATTGTAGTGTTTCCAAAATTACTGATATCCATTATGATAAAGAAAACAAAACGGAATTCTGTGATTCTCCTGTATGATATCGCTTCGGGCCAAGTATAAACAATATCTCTCAAAGTTTACACTACATCGCACAAGTTTTGAATACTTGGCGTAACCATGAATTTCATAATATTATCGGAAAAGAGGATATTGATGGTGAGGTACATTACCTGGTGGATTAGATCCCAACTTTGATATAAGATAATATATTAAAAAATACACAAGCCCAGTTGTTTATAGATCAATTCGAAACTTAGTATCAGTTACCATCTACAACTGGTTGCGGTCTCAATACGAAACAAATCATAGATACCAAATCTTTACCACAGGTTATAATCAAATCGAGCATACATATTGGTATTGGAAAACTGTGTGCTGGTCCTCGAAAATCCCTATACAGCTTTGATGTTTTATCCGACTATCTAAGGGCCTTTAGAAGAGATACAGCAGAAAAGATGCTCAAAAGGACTACAAATCCTATTAGGACTCCGAATATGAATAATAAGAGAAAGCTTAAAAGAGTGAAAGGTCAACCGGAAATCAGCAAGAAAATCCCAACAGCTATAAGCTCTCGTGGAAGGGTCTTGAAGCCTAACAAGATGTTTGATTCAGGTATTAATAGTATCTAGATACAAATAAAAGAGATCATGGTGTTGCCCCCCTCTCAGGATCTAGTAATCTCCGCATCAGGCAAGGTACATGCACCGTTGCTTTCAATATCTATAAGACTCATACTCCCCTCTCAACCTTCTTCCTCATTAGTTCTCTTTCAACACTTCCTCATCTGGTATTTGATCTCCTCATAATTCGTTAGCCCCCCCATTCCCGAACTGACCCACTTCAAACTTTCCATTATATTGGTCCTGCCGCAGCTGAAATATGTCATCGGCATCACCCATCTCAAACCACAAATCTCGATTTATTACTTTGAACTCGATGCTCTTTTGGTTGTTATAATAACAACTTACTAGTATTCTATTAGCCGAAATACAAAGAATACAGTAGTTCGTCTTTCATTCTCACTGGCGCATTATCACAATTATTATAACAATCACCTCAGTAACCCCAATTACAGTACTTTTTCTTACCTTGAGGCCTGATTTCTTTCACTACAATTTAGCCAATCGAAAAAATACCTTATAATAGTGATATACCTGCTTGGTTGCTTAAATATATTAGGAATCGCTTCAGTATAAAGCAAAAGAATTCGGATAAACTTTCCGTATTACAAAATAAGTAATAGGTAGTATATGCCTTGATTTGCGCTGATTTAGGATGAGATAGACTGATTACTATCAAAGACCCTGCAGTTTATTGTGGATTTCAAAACGGAAGGTTAGATGCTGCAAGCATTTGAACTGTATATTGATGATTACAAGAGGTATGATAGGATATGGAAGTAGATTAGGGGTACAATATACTTGATCCTTCTGCTGGAATATAATTCGTTTAAAGTTATAGTCGTTTCTGTAATAGGACTTTCCACCAGTTATAATCTGCAAATTAAAGATCTAGGAAAAGTCGCTGGTTGGGATGAGCGAGGGTATGAGATAAGGAATACTCGCAAAAAGTTGTAGAGAGTATATTCTAGAGAGTATCCTGCCTGTACGAGAAACGTATTTAAACTTTCCGTTTCCTCCATTTCTATTTCCTTTTTCTCTATTCCTCATCAGAGCACTCATCAGAATAGTTCGATTTGCTTTTATTATCTAGAGAGAGCAAAGAGCTTCCAAAATATTATCAATCACTTTTATACTCTCAAAATGCCTTCTTTTGAACCCATTTATTATACCTACATACCCACTGCTCCGTGTTCCAGGACGGCAATTGCTCAGAAGTATAGCTTTCTCGCCGAGAAGCAGTATATTGTGCCAGATCGAAGATTATTTGACAATACCCAGAGATCAAATGATGGTAATGATTCAGACTCAGAACTCCAAGGTATGCACGCCCAAATTAAGATCCTGAGATATTCTTTTTCCCTACTAATGTGACCAAAAGGGTATAAACAGGACTCCGATTGTGTACTTAGAATCTACAAGTGAAGAACTATGTAGGGTGCTGAAAGTAGGACTATATATACAGGTATTTGGGAGCCATAAGGGCTAGGCCCAGAAGAGTGAAAGAGTCCTAGAGATAAGCATCGTACGATGTCTAGGTCTAGAGCTATAGAGCTATGGAGCTATGGCTCTAAGCTGTGAAAGGAAGGCCCAAGAGAGCCGTTGTATTGTACTATATACGTAGTATAAGCCAGTGGGCGGAAAAGAGCTGTCTGTTCTGTTATATTACCCCTCCCTTCGAAAAAGCGTGACCTTATATATCCTTTCATAAACAAATCGCTTGTGATCTCATTATAGTTATTAACTCCGTTGTCGTAGTTCTCCATCCATGCCGTAAGGGCAATAGATGGTTCTACTTGGCTAAGATAACTAAAGTGATAAGCTTGAAGTTTATGAAGGGAATATTTAAAATCATCTGCTCTGTATTATATGGTATCCAGAAGGTGGTCTAACCAGGAGACCTGGTATAAAACGTTCTTGTATTGCAACTTTGAAACTAATACTTCCTCCACTTCCCATTCTTCTTCGCCAGTGATATTCACAGGGTATAACAAAGGGTTAATTTGTCCTGAGAGTGGGTCTTCTGGTGCGAAACAAAGTTTTTCGGAAGGAAACACATCGAATATGTACATTATTGCTGGGAGTGCAAATAAGTATAACTATCCAATTTTCTCTACAATCTTATACTTACTAATGATAGGGAAATCGAGCTTGCAGAAAAATCACTGAGTTTTGTAATATCAAAAATCCAACCACATTATGTTATCTACTTTGAAGTCAGGTTCACGACAGTGTTTGTTGTATTGTTAGACCATTCGATCTTGAGTGTGTTGAATTTGATTGCAGGCAAATTCCTATGCACTATATATACGAGTAGCGAATTCACGGGCTTCCTAAATATTGATTTTGTCGAGGGAATCAGAATTGTATTCTTTCCAGTCCCATTCGACACAAGAAGGGTATCCGTAAAGGATTTCGAAAGGAGTCATTTGACCCAAAGAATCGTGGGGCAATATCAATTGTGTATAATCCATAAATGATAGAAAACGTGACCAATCATCTTGGTAGTAGCTGATGTAGGGGCGTAAGCGTCACTATAGGTACTGGTTGTATATCTCCATTTAATTGTCGGTTTGAGGGTGGTCTGTGGAGGAATGCACTAGGGTAATACCAAGTATGGTCGAGAGCTCTTTCCAGAACCTATTGACGAATTGCATGCCTCGATCTGAGAGTATGGAGGTAGGAGATCTATAATAGCAGCAAATGTGATACATGAATAATTCGGCAAATTCTTTTGCATCACATTCCTTAGTACAGAGAATAGAAATGGCTTGTTTAATAAATCTGTTGATAATAACTAAGATATTATTATATCCGTATTTATCTTTGTTGAAGCTACAGAAGTCTATGGTGATGTGTTGCCAGGGGTGTTGTGGTATACTGAAGGGTTTCAAAAGTCCTGGTTTCTTATCACAAAGGACTTTGGAACAGCGGCATATCTCACAATTGCGAATGTAGCAGGCAACATCATCTCTTAATCCTCTCCAGTAGTAATAATCTGGAAGAATTTTCGAGGATTTCGTAACACTTGGGTGTGCAGAGAGAGGTTGTGTGTGTACATCTCTGATAAGGAATATACAAAGGTTTTCCATACTTGGAATCACTAATTTCTCATTGTAGAGCAAGAGGTCATTTATCATAGTATATGGGGATTTCTTGTCTTCATCCGAAAAGACCCTCAAAGCCTCTTTGCGTAAAGTATAAAGAGTCTCAGAGGTTTTATTGAGGTATAGTATACAATCTATTATCTTAATGAATAGTTTGATATATTCAAGAACAACAATATCGGGGGATTCCAGGAGTGTTCGGATACAGGGGTCAAGCTGATCTTGTGTGAATAGCAATAGTATATGTTGCTTCTTCCTTTGTTTATTTGTTATTTCTATATCATTGTCTTTGCAAAAGAAAGCATCAGTTAGAAGGTTCTCTTTACCAGGACGATACATAATAAGGAAGTTGAAGTCGGCAAAAAGTTCGGCAATACAAGCTTGTCTATTATTAAGCTGTTTGAAGGTCATAAAGTACTCCAATGCTTTGTGATCAGTGAGCACCTTCACATTAAAGCGTAATCCTATTAGTTCAGATCTCCAATAACCAAAGGCCTTGACTATAGCAGTCAGTTCTTTGTTATAGACAGGGTAATTGAGTTCGGCGGGAAGTATAGTCTTCGAGAAGTATGTTATAGGCAACCACTGTTCTCTATACTTTTGTAACAATACAGCAGCAATGACGTTATCAAAGGCATCTGTTTCAAGTATGCTTTCCAAATTGTAATCATAGTACTATAACAGGGGAACAAAGGTAAGTTGCTCTCGTAAGGTATTGAAAGAATTCATGTATTCCTTTGTGAAAGAAAAGGGGATATTGGCTCGAATGAGGTGTATTAGAGCAGAAGCAATAACACCATAGCTAGGTATAAATCGTCAATAGAAATTGCAAAAACCAAGAAAGAATTGTACTCCTTTCAGGATAATTGGATATTGCCAGTTGTATACAATCACTATCTTGTCGAAATCAACTTCTATACCATTGATGGAGATAATGAATCCTAAGTATTTGGTGTGGGTAATGTCAAATTCGGATTTCTTGAGATCTATCTGTAAATTGACAACGTATAAATATATGAGAACCTTTTGTATATATTTGTTATAGTCTTCGACGTTCTCAGAGTAAATGAGGATATAATCAAAATATACGATATAGAAGTTGTCTAAATAGTTGAACAATATATCGTTTATATAGCACTGGTAAATAGCTAGACCATTAGTCAGGCCAAAGGGTAAGACTTTATATTTGTAGGATCCATATAGTATACAAAGAGTAATATACTCTTCAGATTGGGGATCTATACGAATACAATGAAACGCTTAGTGAATATCGAGTTTCGTGTAAATCTTAGTACCTTGGAGATATGCGAAGGTTTCGTCGATCAGGGGGAGAGAGTAGTGATCCTTATGTGTTAGGATATTGAGTTTACAATAGTCAATACATAATCGTAGGTTACTATCTGCTTTTTTGATAAACAGAATAGAGGCGGCGAATAATGCTTGACTAGGTTCAATGAATCCTTTTGCCAGATTATTAGTTAGATAGGTCTTGACTGCCTCAAGCTCGTCGATAGATATCTTATAAAGAAGTGAGTAGTCCAAACTAGTCTCGATTGAGTTCTCGAAAATTATGATATGATTGTAAATGCAACGAGGAAGCAAAATGTTCAATTCTTGTTTGCTGAAGATGTTGTGAAAGGAGGTATACTTATCAGAGGCAAAAGGCTTTTCTGGAGTAAATGTAATCAGTAGCTTTAAAGCAGATTTGTTGAGATTCTGGTTAGTTCTTGCAAGAACCTTTTCGATAATAGATATCTCATCTTCTTTGTCTTGCTCCAAGAGTCTTTGATCAAGTAATGAATCTACTTCCTGAAAAGTGCAAATGAACAGTTCGTTCTCTGGGGACCTGGTACAGGCAATTTCGAAGGCGTGAGCTAAGATTTCGTGGATATCTAATGATTTCATTGTAGGTGGGAATCGTGAATTTGGCGAAATCGGACGTTTTCTTCGAATTGTGGGTGTCGGAGGACTCGAGTAAGGTTCTCTGAGGTTTTTTGATATTCGGGTGAGATTATAGCCTAGGGATTTGTCGAATATTCTTTTGTTTGAGGGTACTTTTTCGCAAGGGATGTCGGAGGTCAAGGAGGTGATTCTGGTCTTCTTGGTTTGTGCATTAGCCAATAAGGAATCGGCTAGCCTGGTGATGCTAGGGCTAGGAGCGATTTGATTAGTTAAGGTAACGACAAAAGACTTTTTCAAAGGATCTATTTTATCAAATCTGTTATGAAACAAAAGGTTCTTTTTCTGTAACAGGCTAGGGAATAGAATCAAGGGATTGCTATTCATTTCTTTAGGTGAAAAGAATAATAATTGTTGGAAGTGTAACTGTGTATTATATTGTATATACTCTACATTACAGTTGTAATGATAAGCTAGCTAGTGTATGCGCTAAGGCTAGCGTCAGTACTAGCCGAGGGCACAATGCTAGGGTACCAGCACGTGGTACAGGGTACAGTAGTATGCGTTCTAACAAGGGTACTAAAAGGAGGACTATATATACAGATATTTGGGAGCTATAAGGGCTAGGCCCAGAAGAGTGAAAGAGTCCTAGAGATAAGCATCGTACAATGCCTAGGTCTAGAGCTATAGAGCTAGGGCTCTAAGCTGTGAAAGGAAGGCCCAAGAGAGCCGTTGTATCATGCTACATACGTAGTATAAGCCAGTGGGCGGAAGAGAGCCGTCTGTTCCATCACATATAGGAGATTAGACATACTCTTCAAACTTTCCTGTAGTTGTATTTACTATTTCCAAAAGAGCTACATTTGCCTTATCTGTAGTTTCTTTAGTTCAAAATTTAGATTTAGATGGGATTGATATTGATTGGGAATACCCCTCAGATGATGCCCAGGCAAATGATTTCGTATTGTTATTTCAGGAAGTTAGAGATGCTCTCGATAGATTTGGCGATTTGCTACAAACCCCTTATCATTTTCTACTTACTGTTGCAAGTCCAGCTAGTCCTGCTGTATGTCAAAATTGGCAATTATCAGAAATGGATCAGTACATAGATTTCTGGAACTTTATGATCTATAACTACTCTGGTTCTTGGAGCTCTGTTTTCACTCATCAAGCAAATCTATCTCCTTCCGGTAATGGATCGACTCCATTTGATACGGAAACAGGCATCAGTTACTACATTGCTCAAGGTATTGCTTCAAACAAGATTGTTTTAGGAATACCTATATATGGAAGATTATTCGAGCAAACGGGCGGATTAGACCAAAGCTTTCAAGGCATTGGACAAGGAACCTGGGCTTCTGGAATCTATGACTACAAAGTACTACCTCTACTCGGGGCTATAGAGGCATATAATAAAAAGATTGGCACTAGTTATAGCTGGGATGCTTCAAAAAAAGAAATTATCAGCTACGATAATCCTATGATTACTATTCAAAAAGGCGAATAGATTCAATCCATAAACCTTGGTGGCGCGATGTAGTGGGAAAGTAGTGCTGATAGACAAGATTCCAGAAGTCTCATCGGAAGTGTTATAAGTGTTCTTGGAGGTCATCTCCAAAACGTAACAAATCAGCTATCATTTCCAAACTCCACTTACGCCAATATTAGAAATAATATGCCCGGATTTTCAAAGTTGCCTTTATCCAATATTACGAGTCCGACACTCAACACTTACTATTCAACGAAAGCGTGCACAAGTTCGGGCTTGAATATCTCATCCAGTATTTTAAAAACTACTACTACCAGTTCATCTTCGGAGGCTACAACTGCCGTTGATAGCTTCTCCTCAGGAAACACAGTGGTCATTTCATCCCCAGGAACTGTAACTCCTTCAGATAGTTTATTCCAAGGAAGCACAGCCGCTAGTTTATCACCAGAAACTACAACCACCGTAGATAGCTCTTTTCCAGGAAACACAATCGTTAGTCTATCCCTAGGAACTGTGATCTCTTTAGACGGTTCATCCCAAGGAAGCACAACCGTAAGATCCTACTCGGGAACTGTAACTCCTTTACGCAATTCAGCTTTACAAAGTATAACCGTCAGTCCATCCCCAAGGACTACAAACGCTTTAGACAGTTATTCTAATGACTATTCACTCACCAGTAGTTGTTTTATCATTACAACCATCTATTCTTATTCAGCACCAACAATTATGATTTTACTTAGCACAACCAGTGTATCTTTTCCTGTATCTACGAACTCCGTAGTACTTTGTGCTTGTAGCAATTGTTATTTTGGTATCAATTATGCTGTATCAGGTATAAGTACTATTACCTTTTGCGGTAATACTCTATCGATCTCTATTGGTTTTACGAAAACTATTAAGGGAAAAACGCCTATCTCTACGACAACAACAACGACAACATTACCGCTATTAACTGAGAAAGCCATTACTATAATAATAACAACAAAATTATCAGTTGCGAAACGAAGTTCTAGATGCAATCCAAATCTGGAATGTTATACGAGTAGTACCAGTACAGTAGGGCTTGGATACTCACCTACAAATTTGTTATGTGCAACAGATACAAATAATGATCCAGTATGTATTGGGGATTTTGTTTGTTTATATGCACAGTCTTGTATAATCAATGGAGATTGTGCTCAAGGAGAAGCATGTATTTTTGATTGTTGTCCTTGTACTGGGAATGATTCCACATGTACATCTCGACATTGTGCGCAATTGAAAACAGGATGCTTGGTTTTAAACTAAAATTGAAATTAAGATAAAAGAAGAAAGTAGCAGTCGCTATATCTTTAGAATAGCAAGACTGAAAGCCCTTAGAAGGTCCCAAAAGAGAAGGGGCCATTTTTTATTGCGTCTGGCTATGCTATGTAGCTAGCCTAGCTGTCTCTTCATTCAATCAAACCTTAATATTTTTAAATTTTTTTGTTATATTCATCAAGATGTTTTAATACTGGTAGTGCATAGAAGAGGGCTCGAGATTTGTGTATAAATAATATTAGGCTACCCGCAATCACGGATATGATAAGTGATTACCTTGAACTTAATATGCTTCACATTTGTATATGACTTACCCCTCTATTTTTGTAAAGTTTATGATCTATCCCTTGGAATTTGACTTGTCCACAAAGAAAACTAACTCTATAACTTATATAGTATGGGAGGTTCAAGCTTAATCTTAGGAAATTTATTGATATGAAGTATTCCTCCAAGAAAATTGCACGTGAAACATGGATTGATTCTTGAGGACAGAAGAAGATTGGCTGACACACTGGCGTCGGGTATCCTTCTTCATTATAGAGGGTAGCAAAGTTTTTTATTGAAATATCAGATTGAAAAGTGATGTCAATCATAAACTCTATTCGAGCCTATAAAACACACTTGTAACGCTCTAGCTGGAAACTCAAAGACTTTCCTCCCCTGATGTACTTTGCACCTCTGGGGCCGTAAGGTCGCGAGCTCGCACAGACCACAGACGAAAAATAATAACACCCACATTGGCATCGGATAAAAGTTCCCCGAGCCCCACTTGTATTGCTGACTCAGCAGACTCTCTACCATATACCTACAGTTTCCTCACACTGTAAACTAAGGCCAGATTCAACCTTTTCCAGATATTTAGGTATTGATTGGCCATTCTGGATCCCTGATATTGTATCATCTATTCTTACTTATAGTATATATTGTATTAATATATTATATACGCTCAATCACGAGTTGCAAGCTGTTGGTACAATCCACGAAGGTCTAGTTTCAATACCAATTGAGAAGCGCCTTTAGTGACAAAAGAACGAATTATTATTCAAATCCGCATGAACGTTGCATGACCTGCATAGCGATGACCAATGATTCTTTCTCACCGATCAACTAGGTCTCTGCTCCAATTATATCCATGCACAACAGCGGCGCAGCGATGCCACTATGCTGTTGTTCAGCTGAATTGACAGCTTATTACGATTTCCTCTCCCAACTCAACGTAAAATTCGCATACACGCCAACTCTGCGACAAAATCATTCATTGAGAACCTTCTTTTGTGACGAAATATATCTGAATAATGCGTCTTCTCGAGCTTAACGATGGTGGCGAATTCCGCTTGACCAAGGATTTCGGCGATGATATTCCCCGCTATGCTATACTTTCGCACACATGGGGGGCTGATACCGAGGAGGTCACCTTTAAAGACGTGGTAGAAGCTACTAGCAAATCCAAGGCTGACTATAAAAAGATCGAAACCAAGGTTGGCTATAAGAAGATCAAATTCTGCGGAGAACAGGCTGAACGAGATGGGATACGATATTTCTGGGTTGATACATGTTGCATCGATAAATCAAACAATAATGAACTCTCCGAAGCTATCAACTCTATGTTTCGCTGGTATGGTAATGCAGAGAAATGTTATGTTTATTTATCAGATGTTTCGAGTTCTGCCATTAATAATGACGACAAGTTTCACCAACGGCCCTGGCAATCGACATTTCGGGAAAGCAAATGGTTCACTCGAGGCTGGACCCTTCAAGAGCTTATTGCTCCAACTTCAGTCGAATTCTTTTCCAAAGACTGGGAGAAATTGGGAAACAAATCATCCTTAGAGCTATACATTCGCGAAATAACGGGGATCCCTGGCAAAGCACTTCAAGGAGCTTCGCTGTCTGATTTCAGTGTCATTGAACGCTTTTCGTGGGCCGAAAAGCGTGTGACTACTCGTAAAGAAGACAATTCTTACTCATTGCTAGGTATTTTCAGTATTTATATGCCGCTTATTTATGGCGAAGGGAGAGAGAATGCATTCAAACGACTTCGAGAGGAGATCGACAAAGCATCAAAAGGTAAGTCATTCTTTTTTATTATTAGTAGTTTTCAGAATGTTCGATTTATACAAGTATAAAATAATTGACGGCTCTAGGGTCTAAAAATAATGATTTCTCTATCCCCTTCAGTCTCTCTGATGTTTCTGCAATCGAACAATTTGTTGCAAGGGAGGAAGAGCTTGCAGAAATGCATGAGATACTTAATGGTGATGGATCCCGCAGAACTGTTGTTCTTCATGGTTTGGGCGGAATGGGTAAGACACAATTAAGTATTGCATACGCGAAACGATATAAAGACTATTACTCGGCAATATTATGGCTGAATATCAAAGATGAGGATTCTCTGAAGCAGAGCTTTGCCAAGGCCGCAAGACAAATTAAACGGGAACATGTCTCGGACATCCAGCTAAGCAGCGTGGATATGAAAGAAAACCTCAATGGAGTGATAAATGCTGTCAAGGTATGGCTAAGTCGTTCTAACAACACACGATGGCTGATGATATACGACAATTATGATAATCCAAAATCGGCAAGTAATAAAGATCCCACTGCAGTAGATATCCGAAAATTTCTTCCTGAATCATATCAAGGTTCAGTTATTATTACAACACGATCATCGCAAGTTAAAATTGGTCATCAGATACAAGTCAATAAAATAGAGGATATTCAGGACAGTCTCAGGATTTTATCAAATGCATCAAACCGAAAGGGATTAATAAATGGTAGGCCATTTCTATAATTATGATTACAACTCTGATTTTCTTGATAGATTCCGATGCTATAAGACTTGCTAAGGAATTGGATGGCCTTCCTCTTGCTTTGGCCACGGCTGGATCATACCTCAATCAAGCAGCTATCAATTTCTCAGATTATATTCATTTATATAAAGCATCATGGGCAAAGCTCCAGCAAACGACTCCTGAGCTCAGCTCGTACGAAGACCGAACACTTTATTCTACATGGCAGATTTCGTTTAATCATATCGAACAACGGAATGGACTTTCAGCTAAGCTTCTTCGATTATGGGCATACTTTGATAATCAAGATTTATGGTTCGAACTTCTTCAGCATAGCGATCCTGAGGACCCAGACTGGATACAAGAGCTTACTAAGGACGAATTAAACTTTCACTATGCAGTTCGGGTATTGACCGAGTACGGGCTAGTGGATGTGAACAATTCTTCACTGGAAATAATCGAGTCAAAAGGGTATAGCATTCATGGATGTGTTCACTCATGGATAGTTCATGTTCTAAACCGAGAGTGGGATTTCGATCTAGCTAAGGTAGCCATCAAGTTTGTAGAATTACATATCCCAGGAAAACAGGCTATTCGGCGGTGGTTAACACAGCGACGGCTTCTTCAGCATGCAGCCAGATGTTCACATATTATCTTGAACAGCTTAGTTAAAGAAGATGGTATAGCGTGGACATGTCACGACTTTGGCGATCTTTTTAGCGATCATGGAAAGCTCATTGAGGCGGAGCACATGTATGAGCGGGCATTGGAAGGCAAAGAGAAAGCGTTGGGTCCAGAGCACACATCGACACTTTATAC